CACTCTAGAGAACACTAGACCATCAATCAGGGCTCTCACTAGCAGAAGTTTGAGTGATGCGCCCCACCCCCCACCTCCGCATACTGTAACTGCTGTGTTCAGTGCCTGCGCTCAGTTGACTTCTTATGATTAAAGAAATTTTAAAATGCAATTTTATATATTTTTAATACTTTTATCTAAATAACTATTGATTAAATCAACTTATATGTAAAAAGATTATGTTTATTTCCCCTTTAACCCACACATTTGATCGAAAAATCATAATTCTACCATCTCTATTAAGTCTATTTGCTGAAATATGAACTGGTTTACACAGGTTTAGGTGATTTGTTATCTCAGTCTCCAAGGTGTCTAGTCCATAAATATTCAAAGGGGCCCCCTTTGAATCCCATTGAATATTTCTGTTATGCAATTAGATAATTTGCTGCCTCAAGAAGTGTCACCCTTGAGCATATGCCCCCCCCCCCCCTATGTGAGGACCTTGTTTATAATGTATAATACACACAAACCATGTGGTTACTTATTTTGGAACTATCTAAACACATGACAAAATCTACCCTAATTTACTATAAACTCAAGGCAGACTTTTTTTTCTAGATGAAATGACCTGAATAAATCAACAGATTGTATAAATTTGGTATTTGTACACAATTAACACAAAATGGGTAATTCAGCACCAACTCCAGTAGATATGAATTCAGAAGAGGCTGTATATGTTCAAAATACCATAGGCAGCAACTGTGTTGTTATATTTTCTAAAACATATTGTCCTTATTGTGATTCTGCTAAGAAAATATTTTCTAAATTACAAGTTTCACCAAAAATAATAGAACTAGATAATATTGAAGGTGGTAGTAAAATGCAGAATATTCTGGAACACATGACAAATGCACGGACTGTGAGTATAAATACCATACTGTTTCTATAATTTCCATTGTTATTGACTATAGCTTACACATGATTTAAAGGACAATATTGGTGCCAGTCATTATCACATATGTGATAGAGCTGGTTAAACACATTCGAAATATAATTTTAACACAGAGATCATTGCTACGATAGCTGAGTAATACAGTTTTCCAGAATCGGAAGTGACGAACGCCAAAGGAAAACACGAGTCATCTCTCTTTATAACTGACTGATGTGACGAGTGTTAACGGATATACGGGCGAATTTCTGCTCACTAATAATTCATTCGAAAACCAAAAGTTGTTGTATGAGATTGTGAGAGGATATCTGACAATTCATAAAAAGAATTGACTACCACTAGATAAGTGAACACGAAAGAAAAACAGAAAAAGTCCGTGCATTACCATGTTTTTATAAGATATAGAATGAATATAAACAAGGGAATGTACGGACTATTTCTATTTTTCTCGTGTTCTCTTATCTAATGACATTCAATTACTTTATTGAATTGTCAGGTATCCTCTTACAGTCCCATATATCAACTTTTGGTCTTCGAAGGAATTATTAGTGAGCAGAAATTCGGCTTTATATCCGTTATCACTCGTCACATCAGTCAGTTATATAGAGAGATGGCTCGTGTTTTCCTTTGGCGTTCGTCACTTCCGACTCATGAAACCTGCATTACTCAGCTACCGTAGCAATGATCTCTGTGTTAAAATTATATTTGGAATGTGTTTAACCAGCTCTATCACATATGTGATAATGACTGGCACCAATATTGTCCTTTAACAGATGCATATTCTATTATGAGGTCTGTCATTGAGTCAAGTGGTGTGGTTTCGATTCCCCGCTTGTATGTGTCAAATGGAAGTTATACCACATTTCTCTCTGTGTTTGAATCAAAAGCTAAAATATGTTAGTAGAGGACAGTGAACTCCATAGACCAATAACAATAATAAACAAAAATTCATTGAGGTTTTCCAGCTTGGTTTCCCCTTGTCAGTGGTTCAGGACGCAGGACCTGGCAAGGACAGCTGTCTAATCTTTCGAATGGTGTGAAAAACCTAGGTCCCATAAAAGTGCACATAAAAGATCCCTTGGCAGTTGGAATACAATATAAAAGTAGGCCTTAGCACCACTGTCAGAGCACGGTTTCCCTCATAGCACACTGTATGGTGTATGCCTGTCTTCATTAGCCCAGTCGGAGCAGAACAGTAGGACGTTAAACCCAAATTTGATTTAATTTCATTTCATATAAATATACCATCATAACAAATAGAAAATGAAAGAGCAGCAAGCTTAGGGAGGGGGGGGGGTACATAGATGTTGTACAAAACCAGATTTATTAGTATAGAAATTTATTATTGGGAGTATCGATTTATGGTTAATTTTATATTTTGAAAACTATTTCGTCTCATTTTATGAAAATATAAATGTATTGATATTGTACTGTTCTGCCTCCCTCCTACATCAGATTTTTGGTAAGGATTGTCCGAGAAGCAGAACATTTATTTTTTTTGTATGGCCTAATTCAGTTAAATAAGTATACCCATTTCAATAAAGTTTACAACTAAAAAGATGTCTGGAATGTTGTCACATTTATAAAGGGTGTATGGCTCTATTTTTTCGAACTTTAAAATAGACGCACATATCAGTACAAAATGAATGTATGTAAAAGTGATTTATATTCAATTTTTATACGCCCACATTTTCATGTGGACGTATTATGCTGTCGCCCCTGTCCGTCCGGACATCCATCCACAATTTGTTTGTGGACACTCTATAGGCCTCGGTTCCTTTTGATATTGGCATGTAGCGGACCATAACTTCATGGACTATGGCACCTGAATGTACTAAAAATCACGTTTTTAGTTTGTGAACACTCTAGAGGTCATGATTTTCATCTGATTTTTATGAAACGTGAAATGCATGTGGACACTTCTACAGGTCTCGGTTCCTTTTGATATTGGCACATATCGGAATGTGATTCCTGAAATATGGCCCCTGATTGTACGAAAAATCCTGTTTTTAGCTTGTGGTCCCTCTGGGGGTTACAATTATTTCCGATTTGATTAATAAAAAAACATTCAAATATATCACCGTTATACCCTAATGTCAGTTTCTGACCAAAACTGCCAGACAAAATGGCCGCCCCTTGTACACAAATAGTGTAAACATATGGTATATCAAGGTTGTGGACCCTCTAGAGGTCACAATTTTGATTCGATTTTGATGAAACTTGAAATACATGTTTATAACCCAAAGATCTTGTTTTCTTTCAATATTCGCGCATATGGCCATTGATTGTACGAGAAATCGTGTTTTTAGTTTGTGGTCCCTCTAGAAGTCACAATTATTATCCGATTTAAAAAAAACGTTCAAATATATCACCATTACACCAGAATGTCGGTTGAGTTCAAATTTCATAAAAATCTGACCAAAACTGCCAGACAAAATGGCCGCTCCTTGTAAGCAAATGGTGTAAAAGTATGTTATTCCAAGGTTGTGGACACTCTAGAAGTCACAATTTTGATCCGCTTTTGATGAAACTTGAAATACATGTTTATAATCCAACGATTTTGGTTTCTTTTGATATTTGCAGATATCAGACCATAACTTCCTTGATTATGGCCCCTGATTGTACGTTTTTAGCTTTTGGACACTCTAGAGATCACAATTTTATCCAATTTTAAAAAATGTTTAGATTTATCACCGTTATACCCTATTGACAGTTGAGTGCCAATTTCATGAAAATCGGACCATAACTGTCTGACAAAATGGCGGTTCCTTGTATGCAAATTGTGTAAAAGTATGTCATATCAAGGTTTTGGACCCTCTACAAGTCACAATTGTTATCAGGTTTCGATGAAGCTTAAGATATATGTTTATGTCCCAAAGATCTCGGTTCCTTTCGCTATTTGCACCTATCAGACCTTCACTTCCTGGATTATGGCCCCTGATTGTATGAAAAATTGTGTTTTTTAGCTTGTGTATTCTCTAGAGGTCACAATTTTTTATCCAATTTTAAAAACCATTTAAATATATCACCATTCCACCATAATGAAGATTGAATTCGAATTTTGGGAAAATCGAAATGAAACTGCCCAACCAAATGGCCGCTCTTTGTACAATGGCCGCTCTTTGTACGCAAATTGTGTAAACATACGTATTATGAAGGTTGTGCACCCTCTGGAGGTCACAATTTTTATCTGATTTTGATGAAACTTAAACTATATATTTATATCCCAAAGATCTCTGTCCCTTTCTAGAGGTCACAATTATTTATCCGATTTTGAAAACCGTTTAAATATATCACCATTCCACGATAATGAGTAAAAGTACGTAATATAAAGGTTGTGCACCCTCTAGAGGTCACAATTTTTATCCAATTTTGATGAAACTTAAAATATATGGTTATGTCCCAAAGATCTCAGTCCCTTTCGATATTTGCACATTTCAGACAATATCTTTCTGGATTATGGGCTTATGTCCCCTGATTGTACGAAAAATCACTTTGGTTTTTAGCTTGTTCTCTATCATTCTCTTGCAAAATGTGGGCGTATATTGCCTGGCAAGCCCCATTTGAAAAAAATAATTTAATTTCTGATCAGTTATGATTGATGAAATATGTAAACAATTCAAATTAAACGGCAGTTACTTATGCCTGCTTTTATTGTTTGTGAATCAGCCTTTATTAATTACTTCCACATTGTGTTGTAGGATATGTTTTTATTTGTTCATTAAAAAATGGCACCCGAAACCATAGGGTACACAACTTGTGTACTGATTATAAAATGTTAATTGTGTCTTAAATATTGGATATTAGGATCCTATAGTTTCACGACATAAAAACATCAATATTGATTGGAATTGATCAATATTGAATTCTTATTAGTATTTTTAATTTCGAATATTGTGGAAAATATTGAGTTAGAGACTTAGCTCCTTTAAATACGTTTATTTTATGACCTTTAATATTGTGTTCTAGGTACCAAGAGTGTTTATAAATGGAAAGTGTATAGGTGGAGCTAGCGAGACAAAAAGTTTAAATAATTCAGGAAAACTACAATCTTTATTAAATGATTGTTCAGGTTAATGCAATCGTTTAAATATTTTATGCTATTTTAAATACAGATTGCCGTTATTTAATTTATTTGGCTTTTTTACATATGTTTGATTTCTAAAATTTTGTACATATATTCATAGAGAAACACAAACATAGGCTTACAAATGTATTAAAGTTGTGGATCATCATTAGCATTTTTTGGACAATATCTCATTTTTCACGGCTTAATCTACACTAATTTGATTGTTTAACATTTGATTACAAAAACAAAAACTAAATATCAACTGTAGATAATTTCCTATCTTGCATTCAAAAGAGGACCATCAAAAGATGTCACCAAACACTGGGACTTTTTTTTATATTTGGAGCCATGGTGGCTCAGTGTACGAGATGCTGGCTCACTAACCAGGAGATCCCAGGTATAATCCTGGTGTTGGTCAAGAAAGCTCCCAGGGTTTTTGAGTGAGATTTCTCCATGTCACTGGTATAGGACTGACATTCCTTTCAGAGATTCAGCTTAAAAAATATTGTTAGTTTGCAAGGGACTTAAAATCCCTCAAATGACACTCAGCAACTTTAATACAAAAATGTGTGATGAAATTATTGTCAATCTGATGAAAATAAGATGTTTTCCATTCTTGTTTCATTTTCTTTTCTTTTGTTTTTTTCGGTATTTTGATGTGATATGGGCATGGCAATCAGCAACCATCATTACCCATACAGTTAAAGAAAAGATGAAAATTCTGGAAAAAATGTACGAGTGAAAATTTCAAATGTTTTTGTTAGATCATTAATAAAATGCCTCATTAAACATATGAAAGTAAATAGTCATTTGATTGGAAAGATCAGAAATTAAGTTACAACACCCAAAAAAATCCAACGTAATTTTAAACTCTTTATGTCTATTAAAATTTTTGTTGTCTGGGTCTTCTGAGGTAGACCTCTAGAGATGTTTTAATTAATTTATGCATGCATATACTGTACATGTATGAAGAGATGTAAATAAAAATGTTTTAAGCTTTTGTGCCCATAACTCGTTCTAGATTTCTTTTCCCCTTGTCAGTGGTGCAGGACAAGGGAGCCCCGACAAGGACAGCTGTGTAGTTGTTCAGATGGGATGAAAAAACAAGGTCCCATGTACACATTGGAGTGCACATAAAAGATCCCTTGGCAGTTTGAATTCTATGTAACGCCGCTGTCCGAGCAAATACTTCCCTCGTAGCACACTGTATGGTGTATGCCTGTCTTCATTAGCCCTGTCCAGTTGGAGCAAAACAGTAGGAAATTTAACCCCATTTCATTTCATTTCTTTGCATTCACATTTTCTTGTACTCAGTTAGAATTTCTGTTATTTTGAAAAAAAAAAACAGCATAAAAACTGTTGGTTATACCATGTTGTGCACACATTGTGAAGGCACTACGTAAAAGACTCTGCTCTGGTGGTCAGAGATGGACATAATTGATGTTGTGGGAATGTATGGATACCACATTAATAACCAGTATTTGATACTTTAGTTGAAGTGTCTTGCAGTTTAAAAACCTGTTATTTTTGTTATATAATTTAATCCAACAGCAGACTTGTGAATTTCCCCTCACAAATTCATTTAACTTTTATATAACATACTTGGGCCTGCATTCAAAGGTTTTCTTAAAAGTTAAGAAGAAATATTTAGCAATGTAACCATGCAATATCAACATAGGGGGAAAATAATATAGCCTCGCTATTATCTATTGCACTGTAGTAAACGTAATCTAAACAATATTCTGTCCATATCATCACATTATGACACTACAACCTCAAACATCCAGAATAAAATACAAGACAAAAATCTTAGCCCACCCAAAATCGTTCTTATGGATCTGCTACTGCATTTGATTCTGGACAGGAGTCATTGTAAACACATTTGAGGTTTACATAACCCCTATAAGCCCCTTTAAGTGAATTTTTTAAAACTGAAAGATACATTATGTAAGATTTAGATAAAGAGCTAGCTATTCTTGCTATAATAGTTCGAAAATAGATAATGGAAAATGAATAATTTGAAAATTTCATTCAAATTACTGTATTGCGAGCGAAGATATTAGCCTTTGAAGGTTTGACAAGACCAGCGATAAATTCAACCACAGTACTGGTTGTTCAAAGCTAAGTCTGGCTCCTCCATTTTTAGCTTAAATTAAAATATGGCTGAACTGTTCTAATCTATTTAATATCAGCGAAATCCGATGCCATCGAGTGTTGAGTATGACCAAGGTAAGTTAATTAATGTCTAATTAATAATTAAGAAAACATTTCAGGCCTAAAGAAAGACCTGCGATAGGCAGATTTAGCTCTCGCATAATGTATGTTTAAAGGACAATTTTGGTGTCAGCCATTATTACATGTGTGCATTCCCTTGTTTTTATTCATTCTGTACTTAATAAAAACATGGTAATGGACAGACTTTTTCTAATTTGTTCGTTTTCTTTTATCTACTGACAGCCAATGATCTCTGTGTTAAAATTATATTTGAAATGGGTTTAACCAGTTCTATCACATATGTAATAATGGCTGACACCAATATTGTTCTCTAAATGGGCCTTTGAATACCAATTTAAAACTATACATTTCCCTTTATTAGGGGAAAATGAAGACAGGCAGTGTGCTATGATTTCATTGGATTGAATCTGTCATGATTTCTTTTAGGTGGGTGGCTCAGTGTGTTCAGGGCTAGCACACTTTTAAAGCATAAAATCTTGGGTTTGATCCACGTGTTGAGCAAAAAAGTGCCTCAAGATTTTTCTGGTTTGCCCAGGTCAGTGGTGAAGGAGTGAGGGCCTAGTGGGGAGATGATGCATCTTGTCATTTAGATGGGACAACAAACAGCCATCCATCTGTCCTGCACCACAAACCTATGACCTTAATGTGATCTACATGTAGTTTCAAACAGCTTTTCTGATTCGAATAGATTATTATTTCAAGTTCTAAACAACAATACAATCATATAAAGTTCTGATAAATTTTATTTAAACTTTGAAAGATTAACAGTCATCTGTAAAAATATAATAGAACAAAGATGTAAATAGACCATAATATTAATTATAAAAACAAACTATGTATATATTTATATAATTTGGAAGACTATACACTAATACATTGTCTGGTGTATTTCATGTTTTTAAGCTAATGATATTTCATAATAAATATTGTTTATTGTTGAAAATCAAAGGGTATTCCTTTCAACAGGATAGACAATATGAATTTCAGAAAGGTTGCATCATAAATGAAGTGGCTATGTTACTAAAAGGCCTGTAGCCAGAGTGGGGCAAGGGGGGGGGCCCAAAAAAAAAATGGCCAACCATAGCTCTAACATACGTACTGTAGACTGTGCAAGGTGTGGCCCCCCTAAAAACTTCACTGCCCTCCCGAAGCTAGCAATCTGGCTACGGGCCTGGGTTACTAACAACAGGATTTCATTACAAGGGGGAGTTATTCTGTACGTTACCAATATCGTTAAAAAGGGTTCCTCTTTCCAATAGGACAGACATCAATACAGATTTCAGAAAGACGGTAGAACAGGGAAAATACAATATAAAACCACATTTCAATTTCAATGTGGGCATATACAAATCTTGAAAATCTATAAGATTCTTCTTAATAGTACAGACCATTTATATACATTTCAGAAATATTAATAATTGCAGCCTACACAAAATGTAACAGATGGGAATAACTGGATTTTATTAGTTAGTCTCCTTTTTAATGAAATATATACAACCCACATCAATTTCATAATGATATATGGGTGCTATTAAGCATTGTGGACGACTGACCGAGAGGGGTGACAGCAATTTAATATGTGGGCATATACAAATGTTGATTTAAAAACAAATTATTAAATCATACTAACAGTAATATATGCAAATATTATTGTAACTCATAACTTATTTAGTCACCATATGGTTATATTCTAATTAAAAGTATAGTCATTTTTACATGTTCATCATATTTGCATTGTAAATCGCCCGGTGGATAACGATATGAAAATAAGATATTTTCAGAAAAATGCAAATGACAATCAGCATCAGCAGCTTTAAATATATTTTTGGATTAATTTTGTACCCCAAAAGATACAATAAATTTCAATTTTCATGGTGAAAGTCTTAAACAGTTAGAAATGCCAAAATTGAATAACCAGCGGCTGCCAGGCAGGATACACCCACATTTTTCAAGAGATGGATAGAGAACAAGCTAAACTAAAAGGGTTTTTTCGTAACATTCAGGGCCATAATCCAGGAAGGTACGATCAGATATGTGTGAATATTGACAGGTGTAACGATGATATATTCACACGTTTTTTTAAATCGGATAATAATTGTGACCTCTAGAGGGACAACAAGCTAAAAATGCGATTTTTCGTACAGTCAACAGCCACGATTCAGGAAGTTACGATCCAATATGCGCAAATATCGAAAGGATCCAAGATCTTTGGGTTATAAACATATATTTCAAGTTTCATCAAAATTGTGAGCTCTAGTCTAGAGGGTCCACAACCTTGATATACCATATTTTTACACTGTTTGCGTTCGAGGGGCAGACATTTTGTCTGGCAGTTTTGGTCCGATTTTCACGAAATTCGAACTCAACCGTAATGAAATTGTGACCTCCATAGGGTCAACAAGCTAAAAAACGTGGTTTTTCATACAATCAGGGGCCATATAATTCAGGAAGTTACAGTCCGATATGCGCGAATATCGAACGGAACCAAGATCTTTGGCTTATAAACTTATATTTCATATTTCAACAAAATCAGATAAAAATTGTGACCTCTATAGGGTCCACAAGCTAATAATGTGATTTTTCATAAATCAGGGGCCATAATCCATGAAGTTACAGTCTGATACATGTGCGACAACAACAAAAAGCGAACCCGGGGTATATGTACCTAGACAATATTTAATATCCTTCTATTTGCACAGTACAAAGAAATGGAGAAATCCTAGAGATACCATAACAGTTTGTGTAGTTAATAGACCAACTACGATAGCACAATACTGTAGAACATTCAGGCCCCTCCCTCCCTTAAAGATGCATTATGTAAACCCAAATCTGCCTGTAGCAGATCTTTATTTTGGCTTCAAATGGTAAATAAACTATTATATAGTCATCTTTCTAGACCATCAGATGGCCAAGATCTAAATGGATTAGAACACCAATGAGATTTAACAATGAAATGGATAATCGAGACCGTTGCTATGATAATAAATAAACTACACTACATCTTGTCAAAACATTCAAAACTTCACTCAAAAATTTTAATATCTATTTTTAAACTATTATAGCAAAAACTATCAGCTCTTTATTTAAATCTTACATAATGCATCTTTAACAATAAGCTTCATAATGTAAAATATACAAAATATTGCTAATCATAGTTTGTGGTAAGAAGTACATATAAATGTCAGTGTAAAACTTGTTAGCTATAAGAACTTATATCAGAAGTGGTATCAGGTGTTATAGAAAGATAAGCCATACCTCATACCCTGTTAAGTTTATTGGGAAATGTATAAAAAAGATACAATAAAATCATTTAAATAAAGTTTTTGGGTTTTATATTACAATTTGTACAGGTCTATATATAATAAATAAAATGATAATTATACTACATATTGCACTGGGTAATGTAATTAGTGGAATGGCTGGTTTTCATATAGTTTATAACAGTGTGTGATTGCATTATTAAATGTATTTGTAATGGAACAATCTGTTAGCCCATGTAACAATGCAAGAACAAACAAATCTGGTAGGTTAATATATATTAATCTTTGATGGTAATATATATTACTACAGCCACTTATTCTTTTTCTTGAAAACAGATCAACATTTTGTTGCATGTATTTAAAGCATTTAGTATCTGGGGCCTGTTTCACGTAATTTTAACTAAGATAAAATCCAAATTTTAGTAATTTGATTGGATAATATTAGATTGATTTTAGTGATTAGCCAATCAAAATTGAAGTATCTACTAAAATTTGGATTTTATCTTTAGTTAAGATTTCGAGAAACAGGGCCCAGAGTAATTTTAATTTACAATATAATCCCACACCAGTTGTAGTAAACCTATTACTTGTAGTATATAAACTATATGGAAACTAGTTTCAACATTTGACTTGAATATCACTTGTGGAGTCATTGTAATGGGCGTCTTGTTACTAGTTTTATTCATCTTCAAAATAGCACATATATTTCATCTACATTGGTGAAAAAAATAGGGCTGCACTGAAATTTGATGAATGAATGAAGATATTTTCAAAATCCAGTCAAAGTTTGCACAGTCATAAGTGATAAATCTGAATATTAACTGGCAAAAAAACTGATTCCCTACTTTTGAACAGCTGGATCCAGATGATAATGAATAAAATCAGATCATACTTTTAGAACAAGATAGAAATTGAAAATACAAAAGATCAAGACAATGTATGTAAGTTTTATGATGATAGTCATGATATTACTCATTCTGTAAACTGGAGTGTAATACAATAATTCTAATGCCATTTTTTACATTGTGATATATAAATCATATTTTGAAGTAGGCCTATGAATCACGATGTACATTGTATTGAAGCTCTTGGTATCAATGCAACCCTAAGTAGAAGTTGTGTTCGCTAGAGAACTACAGGTATGAAGTGAAGTTGTTTATGACAGTAGATCCAGATAGTTTTTAAATCTATTTACAGCATCCTTTCTTCTTAACAACAAATTCATCCAATCGTAGAGCAGCTTCCATAGCCTTGTCTTCTTTCTCTTGTAATAAACTAAATAGAAATCAATCAATCTGATTAAAACACAGATCCTATTTCGTTTCGTTTTTTATAGATCAAATTTTCGTTTTACTTGTCTTTACTACACAAGGACCTGGAAGAGTTGTTATATAACCCACTTCCGGTTGATGGAGCTGTGAGTATGCCAATAAAAACATCCACGCTGATTGGTTAATCAAATTTCTCATGTCATAGGGTCAAAAGTGGCCTGAATGACCCCCCTGAAGCAACCTCCCACTACAACTGGCCAGGCTTTTAAAAGTATAAAAAACGAAACGAAATATAGATCTGTATTTTAATCAGATTAGAAATAAATAAAATAATAAAATACATGTCAGTATTTTCTCATTGACATTTACATCATTATTCTGTCTGGCAGACATATCTCACAGGAGTGGGTGTTTTTTCTGTTTTAACTTTATAGGAACTTAAATCCCTGATTAAATTACAGTACACAATGGAGATTTAGCTAAGTAAAAATACATTCTTTCAACCAAATCTGCGAAAAAGTCAACAATACACTGACTAAAAGGTCTCCGATATATCTAATGAATAAAACTGGTTAATGCTGTGTTATAAAGAACCCTAGAAATACAAATTATTATGTTTATTTGAATTGGTAAAACGTTTCCAAACTGACTTGCCAATAGCTAGGCCCCCTATATATGAGCTCATAATGGTGTGGATTTCACACTGATTATGTCGCTCATTGCACATAAACAAAAGTTCCTAATTTCTATATCTGAGGTAACATAACCAAAATAAGCAATTTGGAGAATCAATTCTTAGAGATACACAGCTATTAACATGATTTAGCCGGTTTTGGACCTGCTATGGGACGGTTCAGTGCTGAAGGGTTAATGAACATAACTGAAAGAAATATTTATGTCAAATTTACTATTTAAGAGCACACATCCAATTTATAATTTCAAACAGCCCAGACAGTAAATCAAGGTGGAGTTTTAATAAATAAGAGGGAAACGTGGTGTATAATAGTTACCTTGAAAGACCATCAATAGTCTCTTCTATACCTGATCCAGATTTAGCACTAGTTTCATAAAACAAGGCACCATACTCCTACAAATATATATATATATATATATACTGTTATAACTTATGTATCTTTCATGCACTTTAACAGACATCACTTTTTATTAGATACTAAAATAATACAACAACAATTTTGATTTCAATCAAAATAGAATAAGGTATTGCAATTGTGGATGACAATAACAGTAACTTACATCAGCTAACTTGTTGCCATCTTTAGTTTTTACAACACCACTATTTTGTTGATCTATTAAATCTGTTTTATTACCAACAAGAACTAATACTGTACCATCGTCTACTCCTTCCTGTTTAATATACATCCAATATTCATATAGATTCACTTATAACATTGACTAGGTCAATATTTTCAAAAGATGGTTACTTTTTTTATTATTATTAGGGTTAATGGGTAAAGGGAGTTTGGGTTTTACAACTGCATTGACAGTCAAGGGTGGCAACACAGCACTTATCCAGACCCTCCCAATCTTGCGCAGAGCATATTTTCTTTCTCCTACATTTATCAAAATAACGTTGAAGAAACAAAAGCATAGCCACCATTTTAACCTAACTCAACTCAAATCCTATACATGTATGTACCTAAATGAGCAGAAATATTGTTATCAGAGCTGCTGATTTTATCAAATTCTCGGGTAATCAGGCAAACCTCATGACAAACTTGATGTTGTCTCCACCTTGGACCCTGCACTGCTCAAATCGTTGAACAATATATCTAACAATGAACCATGGAAATTATTTTCAAACTATAGAAAGAGATCTGATGTCTAAATAAAATATATTCTATTAATCCTCTCTTGGTGATTGTACTTACCTCCACACTGATCATCCAGTTTCTAATATTAGTAAAAGTTGATTCACATGTTACATCATACATTATAACAACACCATCAGCTTTACGAAAATACTGTTTAGTTATACTTCGAAATCTGAATATAAAATAGTATAGTGTTTTTTGCAGGTTACAAACATTCAGATATTTAAATAACCTACATTGTTAACCCTTTGTAACCATTATTGTAGCTGTTATTTCTCGGGTTACGGTATATGTTTATAACATACACAGAGGACCTTTCATCCATTTGCACTGGGTTAATAACCTAAGTGTGTATTAAATTTAAGGGTGAAAGTATTTTCATCCAGTGTGGGGCATAACATGTACTATTCAGGAGCTTGGTTTTAAATCATAAAAGGCTCATCAAGTTATTAAGTTAATAGGACACTTGGTTTCTCAGCTAACATATTATGCACCCAAGGAATGTTCACATGCCTTGCGGATTTAGCCAGACTAGACAATAGGCTATGAACTGAAAATGAAATGAAGTGATTTTACCTTTCTTGTCCAGCTGTATCCCACAGTTGTAAAGCTATAATATGACCATCTTGTTCTACTGTTTTAATCTGGAAATCTACACCTATTAATAACAAATTATTGTTTTATATCTTTATAAACATAAGGCAGGTAAACAGGTCCATATTAAACCTCTGTTTATTTATAGAATAAAGTTAAATGTTCAGTTCCTGATCAAATTATATTTCTCAATTTTGAGGGAGCATATGAAATGGTATGTATCGTATTTTTTCTCTGCATCAACCATGCTAATGAAAACAGGTATACACCATGAGGGAAATTATGCTTGGACAGTGGCATATCAGCCTACTCTTCTTTGAATTCCAACTGTCAAGAGTTCTTTTACGTGCACATTAACGAATATACAGGTGGACGCTTGATAATAAAAAGTCTAAATTTGCCCCTAACGGTAACCATGCTATGTGTTAATAGAATCCATTGAAGTCATTTTCACAAATCAGAACTGGAAATAAACAAGTCACAATTCCATGCAATTACTGAGCGACGCATCAACTATATAGTCCATGATAAAACATATAATACTGTAAAAACAAAACTTGGTTAATACCTATTGTAGCTGCAAATGTTCCTTTAAATGTGTCATTACAGAATCGATGAATAAAACTACTTTTGCCCACACCAGAATCCCCAACAAACACTACTTTAAATATTCTTTCTGGTCCTTTGGGTTTTACAAACTGAAAATACAGAAAACGTTAACAATCAAATAAACATATAAATATTGGTATGTAGGGCTTAATTTAAACCGAGATCAGCTAACTTACTAGATAAACAAAATATTCAAGAAACAAGGACTGAAGACACTATTTTGATTACAAATGGTGCAATTTGAATGCCAGTGCCAGAGAGAGAGAGGGGGGGGGGAGTGAATGTCCACTGGGCACAAACTAGGCCATCTCAAGTCTAACATAATTTGGTACACTTTGACTTGACTAAATAATAGATCTTATGATCTAAACTACATGCATTGATAATCTTCCTTATGCCCCCCTCCAAGTTTTAAAACAGTCCTTCTGTATTGTATCTACTGACAGTTGTCAGACTACTGTGGGCACATAATTAGTGTTTCTCGGTTCCCCTACAACCATTTTTTTGCTAGTTTAGGTAATTATATACAGCTAATGAATACTTACATCTACTGTATCCATATAATTACTTGCATCAGCTGCTCCTACTGGTTGATCTCGTACTCTTGCTAATTCATTACCCAATGACTGACTACAATAGATAACGATGTAATCATCATTTTATTATAAACTGGTGATAATGTAAGTGAACAAAGTGAGATCCTATTGTACATATTTATTAAATTCACCTTTAAATTTACTCACCTATTCCATATATTGGTAACATAATAATTTTCCATTTTATGTGGTACAAATAACTTTGTTTTTAAAAAAATATGACTCTATATAGTATTCAAATGATATTCAAAGAGATAGGGCATGCATTTTGCAGTATTAAGCATTTTTCTAAGTAGATCATTGCTTGGATTTTGATTTCTTAGATGAGCCCATGATCTGAAACACAGTGCATGTGTTAAATGTTGGCTATGTTTAAATCTCATGCACAATCTATAACAATAAGTGAAATAAGGTCACTCATTACAATTTACATTTTTCAAACAATATTAATTTTCAACAGCTTAATCCATACTAAAATGTACTCAAATTAATAACTTATCATCTAATTAAGAAAAAAATTAAAATAACAACTATTGATAATTGCATTAAAATGGCTTGGATTCATTCAAAAGGGCCCATCAAAAGATTTCAGCTAAAATTATAGGTGGTGCCAGCTTGTGTTTCAATTCATCAAGTACTAAACATAATTGAAGATGTCACAATATTGTAGTCTAAGGCATGCCTAAATGCATATTCCTGAAGCAATGGCCCGAGAAATCCCTCTCTGGCCATTGCTGGATTAGCTTCTGATACTTGCGCTTTTGAGGGAGTGTGTCTATTCTTCCCGTTCAATCAAATCTATCCAAAAGCACAGCAACATGACAGCCCTTCTTTTAATCTGGGGCCTTTCCTAAAACTTTGGACAGTGATTTAAGGTATTAAAAGCGGTGAAAGTGTTGCTCGTCTCAAAACAATATTGTTTACATGATATACACAGTTTAAAAATCGTGCTGACAGTTGATAGCCTTGTTTGTCACACAATTAGTTTTTCTGCAATATTCTGCTATGCACTGGTTAATTGGTTGTTAATCAGACTATTGACCAGTCATAATTTAGAACAAGAATGTGCACTCTGTACAGCAGTGAGTAGTGGGATTAGCTCTAATTAAACGAAACACTGCGGGGAGTATGGCCTAAATGCCTCAAATAACATTCAAAGGCAAGTGTTACCAAAGGGAAGTAATTAGTTCAGAATAACTAGTCAAGGGCAAGGGTTCACAACTTTCACACACATCAGCACACAGCTCTAAAAAGTGGGAAAGAACCAACATAATTAAACCTGGTGATATTACAAATCTAGACATCTGTTTACTATAAAACCAGTACAAACCAGTGGAAGAATATTCAGATACAACAAAGCTTGAATTGATCCTGTTGACCATTTAAAATCATGTTTATATATAAATTTTGATATAACTGTGAGAATTAACCATGTAGTAAAGAAGATGCAATAAAAATAAAATGGCAGATACTATACATATATAGTCCCATAAATTGTATTTTTTTGTTTTTTTTCCATAAAAATATAGGTTATAAAATAACCAAATATGCACCCACTACGGCACTAGCTGGTCTGTTCTCCAGGTTACCTTAAAAATGAGTCCGATAACTGGGATTTTTTTTCTAAAATATTAAATCTATTTATCTTAGAGAGTGTCAAAAGATTTTATAACTAAAGGCCTGTACACACTAAGGCCTGCTGTATTGTGATCAAGCGGACTATGTATGATCCATGACAAATAGGATTCTTCTCCTCTTCTTCTCATGAACATAAATACTAATATAAATTTCAAGTCAACTTTTGCCTCTAGTGCGCATCCACAGGATTTTTTCAACTCTATCAGTAATTATCTGAAATAGGGTTTTTCGTCTTATGAACATTATACTGTGTATAAATCAGATGATAAATCTGGCCTCTGGAAACACTAGCAACTACTGATGTTGGACTGACCGACAGACAAACTGGGGTGATGACAACAATACCACATTGATTAGGAAACCACAAAATGCTCTCACTTACAGGTATGTAAAGTTTGGGGTAATAGCTAAGCTTGGGAGAATTAATAACGATAACAACAAGCAGTTGCCATGCAAGATACACCAGAATTTTGCAGGAGATGGACAGAGAACAAGCTAAAAAAAGTTTGCACCATCAGGGGCATAATCCAGGATGTTATGGTCTGATGTATGACAATATCAAAAGGAACCAAGATTTTTTAAATATAAACATATATTTTAAGTTTCATCAAAATTGGATACAAATTGTGACCTCTAGAGGGTCCACAACCATGGTATTACATAGTTTTACACTATTTGAATACGAGGAGCTGCCATTTTGTCGGACAGTTTTGGTCTGATTTTCACGAAATTCAAATTCAAATGTCATTAGGGTGTAACAGTGATAAAAAATTGTGACAAGCTAAAAACGTGATTTTTCGTACAGTCATGGGCCTTTATCCATAAAGTTATGGTCCGATATATGCCAATATCGAAAGGACCGAGATCGTTGGGAGATAAACCTATACTTCAAGTTTTGTCAAAATCGGATAACAATTGTGGATGGACGCCCAAAGCACAGGGACAACAACAATATATGTCGACATGAAAATGTGGGAAAAACATTGATAAATGATGTGCTACACAGGTAGGTACATAATATTGAATGAATGAAATGGGGTTTAACATCCTACTTTTCTGTTGCATCCGGGCTAATGAAGTCAGTCATACGCCATGCATTGTGCAATGAGGCAATTGAGCCCAGAAGGTATATACTACAAAGGAGGAGGAGGAGAAGTAGCACCATAGAGATAATATAATGTTATCATGCTGTTTGATCTATGATCAGTAGTAGTATTATATAGAAACCTGACTACACTAGAAGCTCGATCATCAGGTGCTAGTTCCTCTACACTATTAAAAGCCATCACAGCTGATCTAGTAAATATATATATATATATATATATATAGTAGTAGAATAGTTAATTAAAGCTGCTATTTGGTAATATATAATTGAAATTAAAGATGGAAAACTAAATTTTTATTAAATGTTTAATAAATGCCTGAAGAGCTGCTATCGCATTGAAAACGTTGGCATAAAAATGTAGTTTTATTTTGCCATCTTTAATTTCAATTATATATATATAACAACAAAACACATACTTATGGAAAACAGCTACTAGGGTATTTAAGGCGACGTTTCATAGAGTATTCTCTCAACGTTATCAAGCTAATACAGTAAAACAGGTCTGAGGCAAATATATACAGTAGAATCTGTATTAAGCAGCCACCCAAGGGAATTTTCACGACTGACCGCTTAACGGGAGTGGCCTCTTAATAAAATCTTGGTGCTTTTGTGCTGACATCAATAATGCTTGGGGGCATTGGAAACAAACATCAATACTTGCATTGGTAAATCTTACCGTCGCTAAATCTTGTGCCGAACGAAAATTCTTTACTCAAGTCTCGGACATAACTTCTGTAAATTTGTCATTTTGTACCAACCTTCGATACTACTGTCTACCCTTGTGATGCATTCGATGAATTAATTTTATATTTTATCAAAAAAAGCACATGGACAAAAAAACATCGCTGATTTTGTCACCGATTTACAGGGGATGTAACTCTGTATGTAATATTATAGGAGGCGCTAAAACGTCTGTTTTACAACAAAGTGGCAATGGAAAAGAGATACTAGATGATCGTGACAAAACTCGGCTTCAGTCGGTACTTTATTTTATTCAATCAGTATCAAATAATGTGTCGTTACGCGTGAAAACAATGATCAGGTTAGTCGTTTTAATAAAACAAAAGATTAATTAACAGATAATCCCGTGTTTATTGTTATTTTCACATTTCTTTTTACCTGATCAGTGGGGGTCCAGTTAATTAACTACTAGTCACGGGATTAGCGGAGGTGTTACGAAGAATGACAAGATGCTATTATAAGGATTACAGAAGTTTGTAGACTAAAATGTGACTTAAAAGTTAAAAACTGAAAAGATATTAATTTTTTTTCAATTTCATATCAATATTATGTGTCCCTTTAAATTCATTAATATTGTCCTTTAATTCTTAGGATTCATTGTTGACATGGTCTAAGGGAGACAACTATGTTTCTATTCAATTATGAATAGTATAACATAAAACCTGTTCTGATTGGCTATTCAATTGGATATTTCATATAGAGAAATTCCATTGGCTATAAGTTGTTCTTCCCTTTATCCGCCATTGAACAATAATCAAACTGAAATTATATATCTTTTCTTATTCTTTTCACAGGTAAATATTAAAAGCCATTGTCTATAAATTATGTGAGAAAGACATAAGATAGCAGGGAATATTTTGGAATAGTTTCCATGCTTGAATATGTCCTGTTATTATGTTTTCATGCATTCTTTTCTTGGCCCAACTGTAACCGCATGGCATGGGTTAGGTGTGACGTCAGAGTGCGTTTCTAGAAGGAACCTTATAGGCCTAGCGGTAAAGCTGTACAATAGCGAAGTAAATAAATAACAATAGCCTTATTGATAACTGTCAATATATATTATTAATAAGTGGTGTTACTCAGTTACTCTTTTTATCAGTTACATGTAATTCTAGGATAACCGTGATCTTAGTATTCAGGAGAATTCTTGTTTATTTCTATGGCATTCCAACAAAACATAAAAACACATTTATTGATTGTATAACTTTATTCAGTATTTTACAATACATTATAAATTAGTGTCATTATTCAAAATGTGTAACATTAATACTGTACATGGTTTATCTCAAAGTGTGTGTTCATCTCCCATCCCACTGGCATGTACATTTAAGTACATATGACCTTGATGTGAATATTAAGGAGTAAGATATCTTCTGTGCGTGGCAGCAGTTAGATTGGGTCATTAAATAGTTATCCATTGCGTACAACCTAAGGGTTCATCATTTTGTTCCTTATGTTTTGATGTTTTGTAATATTATTGTAATATTAAAAGTTGTTCTTCCCTTTATCTGCCATTGAACAATAATCAAACTGAAATTATATATCTTTTCTTATTCTTTTCACAGTGTGAACCCAGGGTATTGTCTGGAGAGAGAGAGAGAGAAATGGGGTTTAACGTCCACTCGACACAAACTAGGTCATTTCGGGACTAACATATGGTTTTTAATTTCATTTCAATAATTCGCTTGCGCGTATGGGTCTTTTGCAGTGGGAGGAAACCGGAGGACCCGGAGAAAACCCACGAGATTGGACAGGCGACCCTACTCCTTGTCACGTACAACCGGGGATTCGAAACCACGCCAGTTGACTCAATGACAGGCTTTATGATACAGCATGCACGTGCTAACCATTCGGCCATCCAACCCCCCGTATTGTCTGGAAACCCCTTACACTATCATTCAACAATATGGCCGTTGAATGGGCGTAGTTTTGTTAAATTTATTAGTAAAATAGTGACCGCTGGCCACGTTAGAGGAGTGACCGTTGAATAAAGAGATGAAACAATAGAATTTTACGGGGGGAATTTATTGTGACCGCTTACAAGAAGATGTCGCTGAATAGGAGTGGCTGCTCATACAGATTCTACTGTATAGACAAAATACAACAACATATTTGCCTCATACCTGTTTTACTGTATTGGCTTGATAACTTTGAGAGAATACTCTACGAAACATCTCCTTAAATACATTAGTAGCTGTTTTCCATAAATATGTGTTTTGTTGTTACTCTATCCAGTTACTAAATGCCATTTAAAGAACATATTATATATATATATATACACCATCATATGTATGTATAATGTACATGTGTTCTATTAAAAGATGTATAATGTACATATATGTTTCAAAAACATTCAAAGTAAACTGACAAGTTTCTTCAAATCACTTCATATCATACCCTTTTACATTTAACATCAGAAAGTATGAAATATAAATTTGGACTGGAAGTCAATAAATATTTACAGAGAGTTACAAAAGGGGAATGTGGGTGGCAACTGTAGGGTGACACAAGGGCAATGTGGGGTGGTAATTCAAAAAAAACCTACAAATTTACAAAGAGAGATGAGGGGTTGACACACTGTATTTATTTGAGTAAAAAAAAACATAAATTAGAAGGAGCGCTCATATTTAATATCAATATTATTTAAACCTGTGATCAGCTGCTCCTGGTCAAGTGTTTGTAGCATGGGAGGGAATTGTGTAATGAACTATATGTTAAAACATACTAACCTATGTAATGCTACTTCACTCTCTGGATCACTACTACATGAATCGGATATATCTTGTCTTCTACTACGTTTATATTTACATTTCTTATTATTTATATTATTTATATTATCTATAGGTTGAGTTATATATAAACTAGGATCATCATCATCATCACATTCTATATCATCATCTATACTTTCTTCATCCATTGTCTTCATACTCCCTTCGGATTGCATGTGGGATCTAAAAACAAATACAAAATCAAGTTGTGGATATGCAGACCCTTATAGTCTGTGTGGGAGGACAGCACCACACATGCTCAATTACACAAGACACTCAATATACACAGAATATAAAGAGATATTTCAACCAATAAACATCAAACATATATATCAAATCAAGTGAATGGGTCTGGTGACTGAAATGAAATTAAATGGGGTTATGGATCTGGGGGCGAGCTGTACTGTCCCGGGCCTGTAGTGATACAGGCTTCACCCAAAATGAAAACGAACGAATAAGTGCAGGATTTTACATGTAGCATCAGACATATAAGGATAAAGCCAAAGGTGTTAAATGTTCACTACCAACAATTTAAACAAGTATCTGGTATGTACTGAACAAATTATACTGGATTTCTTTTCTTTCTTTTTTTTAAATTCACAAGCAATATAAAACAATTTTCGTAAAAATATGTTTTGATCAAGGGCAGGATCTAACACATTTCTGGGAATAACTCATGGTTATATCAAACCTGCTTGATATAACCGCCGCATTAAGCATTGTATTAACAGAAGTAAATTAAAAGTTATCATGTACAGACCATCGAGTATCAAATTTCTTCAAAATTGAAAGACAAATGCAGACTATCATACATTCAGTCGAAACACGTATTGTTATCATAAGTGGTTTTTTTTTTAGGGAATTTAGTCAGTTTGAAGCCCAAAATGTACATGGTGCAAATATTCTGCCAACGTAGATATTGTTTACCTCCGTGGAACATTTATTAAATATAAATTGGGTCAATTTTGACAAACCAGAATAGTTTTACGGATAGGACAATAAATAGCCATATGTCGGTTATTTCTCAACTAATCTTGGTCGGGTTTTCATTTTTGGAATCTTTGGACAAATCCCATAGGGACTCTCACAGAGTTTGCAGCCGGTTTCACTTTGAATTTTTTTTCGTCTTTTGACCTACTATCTGGTGACCTAACAGTTCAATGACCCTTGACCATTGCATATGATGACCCTGACGTCTACTAACAACTGATATCAACAAGTTTGGTTTTATTAAGAGTTCAAAATATAGGTTTTTCCACTTTAATAGGTATTGGATGTTACTATACTCAATAGTTCATGGTGTAACTTGAATGTTGATGTGATAGGATGTGACAGGGTGTGACCTGACGTACCGAAACATGTCAGTACTCCTTCTAGTTATTTTTCTAATTTTTAGGTCTCAGGTCTGGAATGAATATCAGTAGATTCAAACCATATTTCATACAATCACTACCTTTTTAATAGATAAAGCAAAAAAAATATATAATTGTACTAACCTTCTAACTGGGAAGTAGTTGGCGAGAATGGATCCTTTCCTTCCCTTTTCCTCTGGTCTCGCAACATTTTCTGATGTCTAAAATTATACACAATTCTAGTTATACATCTTGACAACTACAGAACTAAATCATGAACTAATGTTATTTAAATGATTAAATGAGTGCATGACCTAACCAAATATTTCTACATCATCCTGTTCTCTTATACTCTAGACTTGTTTCCACATACATACCCGTAAAAATTACATTCATATTCTCATTTTCTCAAGCCATTTGTACTCTTGATCAAAGAAAAAAACTAAAGTTTTATTTGTGTATAGATAAGACCAATGTTAAAACCAACAGTGAACCTGATGTCCATAGATGTCCCCTGCCTCAATCCAAAAATAAATAGATGACATTCATTAAATACTTGCACATTTATCTTTATATAAAGCATCAAGCAAACACATTACTTATAACTCTGCTTAACCTGAACAGAAAATGCTCAAACTTAGTCCAGTTACAACACTTTCATTCAAGTAGAATCCAAATTCTTTATTTACACTTAATCTAAGCAGAAAATGCTCATCGTTGAATTCAGTCAAGACATTCACCTAGTGAACAACTATACCGTGTTTGAAGATTCTACATCAGTTAGAAGCAGTGTTATTGTTGTTAAAGAAGTGTAACATATACAGACAGATGGACAAGCCCATATTAATAGTTCCTTGCTTTCTCCAAAAGGTGGGGACAATAAAATAAATCGTAAACACTAAAGTATGGATTTTTACTTTAACTTTGTTTATCTCCTGGGTCAGAATGTATTTACTACTACTAGGCAAGTAACAATATACTGCTACACAGATACACTGGATTCACCTTTTATTGCCATATCATTTCTGAAAGTCTATTTCTGCAAATATTGCAATACAGAGAGTAGATATATTGTATCTAGTATTAAGAAAGGTATTTAACTATTGACAACTTTCTCATATTGGGAATGAAGCTTGAAAATTTTTAACTTGTTTTTCATATATCTTTATTTCTAAATTTAAACTTACACTACGACTGTGTTTAAAGTTTAATAAATGACCATATAAAAGTGGTATGTACTTGAGCCAGTGTTATTAATAATAACTTATTATACTTTACAGTTTACACCAATTTCATAACAAGCTGATTAGAATAATTCTGTTTGACTGTTCATGTGTCAGCAGTCAGACATTCTAAAAATTTTGATTACAGACATAATGGAGTTGATTGGTATGTGAATAATCATTACTTATTCCCAACTTATTATATAAAATATGTAAATTAAAATACAATGAATCAAATTTTGCACAGGAATTGAATCAACAGCATTATTCATTTTGATTTGTTATAAATTATAACCCAGTGATTATAAATTAGATTCTAGAGGAAATATGAAAATCCCCCTGCATTGTAGAAAAACATCCATAGACCAAGTCATTTCACAGATTTCTAAAAGGCAAAGATTGAATTACATCAGAAAAATTACATCAGATACACTTTTGTAGAGTACCTTATAAACTTTTGGTTACTGAGACAACACATGTGTTTGGGTAAATTTAGTGTGTTTTATATAATTGACAAGGCTATATTTGTCACTTAGAATGAAACTGATATAAAGTGTACATAATAACACTATTGGCAAATACATATTTGATATCACCTCGTTGGAAACAGATGTTTAATAAACCTATTTAACACAAGTATATAACACTTTCATGTACCGGTAGTCATTTTATATTTTAACACTTTTCACCCAGGAAATTAAACACTTTTCACCCAGGAAATTAAACCTTTGTGAAAAATAGAAAACTCGAAATTAAAGTAAAAATCAAAAACATATTGTATCTGAGCAATAGAACAAAAGTGCTTTCGTAGAAGAAAAAATCAAACCGGTTTACTTTAAAGAGTAAATATTGTAAATAAAAAAAAAATAGTTAACAGACACAAATAAAATTCTTTAAACCATAGATGTTTTAAAGCCAAGAATTATGACAAAATATTGAAATATCTTTCTTGGTAATTTCCACTGGAACAAGAATTTCAATGAGAATAAAATTTCAACTGCATGAAAACTAAACACATCAACCTTTATAAATAAATTATTCAACATGTAAAAGTCTTGAAGAGATAGTGAACCATATAAAGAGAGGAGAGGTTATATTATAACATTTATAAACATTGTGAACATGCATTAATATATATATATAGTTATGTATGATTTATGCATGTAACATGTTACTTTAGTTAATATAATTTGTGTAATCATGCAATAATCCTTCACCATTTAAATTTATACAGAGAATACTATTTACTAGGGGCTTCTAAACTCTACCTTGCGAAACTTCCTATAAAAATTAGCAAAAAAATCAAACATCAAATTATAGCTAGCAGTAATAATTGATAAAGCTAATAAAGTTATAAATAATATAAATATGAATAGTTTACCAGATCACTACCTATTACTCCACTGTAAGCATCCAAAATAAGGTTTAAGATCATTGATATGTTTTATATGTACATCATGTATAACAGATAGTTAACTCATTGTGTAGATTAATTTTCCATCAAACTTTTAGCATGCAGGAGGGTCCTGACCGCACTCACATGAAGTTAACTAGACTATAATTCTAAAGGATCAACAACATTCCAATATAATAGATGATAAATATCGGCGAGATATAGGTCAATGTCAAAAACATTATGTGTATATTTATATTTCAATGGCTTCTACTTTAGTCTAATATTTAATAGTAAATACAATATCCAGTCTTGACTACCATATTTTTAAATAAACTAGCAAATACACTGTCTCATCCAGTGATTATATAAAATATCAACAAAGTTTTATTAATGGCATTGACATATATCTAAGGGTAACAAGTTTATCACATTTGACTATGCTCATCTAATACCTGGTTTAATTCTGTACTTAAGTCAGTATCCTTGTTAAGTGTAAAAAAATATAAAAAACTATGTGCAGACTTTTATATAAGGCAATATTAATAAGAATATAAAGCGGATACAGACATTTAATTTGCAGGCTGATTAATGCACAGAACTATACAGTAACAATAATACTATGGAGACACAATCATGTCATTCATCTCATGAACATAAAAATTGTTAAACCGACATACAGGAGTTACGATAATGTATGATCACATTTCAATGATGGTGTATAAAAAAAGAGGAAATTGCAGAGATTGTGTCTCTATTAGTATATATTACATTTACGTGGGAATTTCTATATATAGTATAGCATAATATATTTAACTATAAGTCATAATGCAAATATATATAATATATATAAGAAGCAGAAATCAAAATAATACCCGCCTTGCTTCACATTGTTCAGCTTCATCCCGATCATCTCGTAATTTGGTATTTACATCTCTAGAAATATTACAATAATATCATTTAGTTAGTCAAGCTTATATTTCATTCACTAAAAATAAGAAAGTCGGGTAGCATCTATTTTGACCATATCCAGTTGTTATCTTTAATTTGTAAGTACTAAATAGAATTGAACCATTTTTGGTCTAATATTCCTATTAGAGATTCAACTTTCACAATATTGTAGTTTGCAAGGGATTCCTATTATTGATCAAATTAGTTTATGGTAAGATAGCATTTTGTTCAGAGGCAATAATTCTTATAGAGTCTATCAAATTTTTAATGTCTGAGACAATTCTCAAAATGTTGGCACTTTCAAGGTTTAAGTGACAGGATATCGAGCAATAACTCTTCATCAAATTGATGTGCATCCATGGAATAAGACACAACTACTAAACAATACCAACAATTTAAGTTTGAAAACAAAAATCTCAAAAACTTTGTCATGTAGATTTACAATACACAAAAACACATACTTATGAAAAAACAGCTACTTAATTTATTTGGGCGACGTTTCTTAGTGTTAATTAGTTTGTGTAGAATAACCCCCTTTGATCATCTTGTTGTCCTGTATGGTTTCATGAAGTGTTGTTGTAGTTTTTCTTGATAACGTTGAGAGAATACTCTTTGAAACGTCCCCCACATAAATTAAGTAGCTGATTTTCCATAAGTATGTGTTTTTGTGTATTGCTCTATCCAGTTAGTAAATGCCTCTCAAAGATTAGATTTACAATGTTTCAGTGACAAAGGAACAGGAGCAGTAATGCTGCAATTACTTGTCTAAAATACAGGCAGTCAATATAGCAAGGCCAGAATGGTGACAGAAACAACTTATGGGGTTTGGAATCAATAGTCAACAAAATATTTATTTTATGAGATATTATATAACTTACGTTAAAACATCTAGTTGTTTTATGAGGTATTATTTAACTTACTTTAAAACATATAGCTGTTTATTTATGAGATATTATATTTATATAACTTACTTTAAAACATCTAGTTGTTTGACTAAACTTTCTCTTTCTAAAGCTATACCTTCAGATAATCTTAATGCAGCACTGAAATATGCAAATATAAATATATTTTCAAACATTTATAAATTTATGAAAATGTCTGTTAGAAACTAAAGCCTCTATCACATTCACACGCCAAATGTGGGTGCATAAAAATTAAAAACTGGCAAATTTTGTTGGAATTCATGCTCACAAACTTCCCACTTTAAAATGCTATTGCATTTCAAATGATTTTGAATTTATCCTGATATTACATGTATATATGTCTTTGTAGCTTAGGAGGGACCTAGAGCTATGAAAGATTGGGTTTTTTTTTTGCAAACTCAATACGTTGCCTCATTAAAGTTTTTATTATTATTATTATTATATATTATAATAACTACATGTCAATAGATAAAAAAAACGTCACAATAAAACAAATTGAATTAATAATATTGTGCATAAGTTACAGTGAAACCAATCTTGGCAAATAAATATGAATGTGTGTGCTATGATAGAGGTATAAATTTACTTTCATTATCATTGATATTCTATCAAAAATCATTGAAAATTACTAAGCTTCTTCATTTCAATGAGATAGACAACCGATATTAATTTCCAAGATATGTTGACAGGCAAAGAAACACCCACAGAAGCTAAGTCATCTAAATCCCTTTGACATTCATGCTATTATAATATAAATATTGTGCTTTATGTAATTTTTATAAAGATAACGTAAATAAATATCATTAGACATAGGATTCATAATAAATAACATATATTTAGTAAGCAGTTTCAATATCTTTATGTCTATTTTTACCAAATGTTTTGGCATCCATTTTGACAAAGAAGGTATATCCACTATAAACTTATGTAAAATGATAATAATATAACTCACAAGGCTCTTTGTCTTTTATCATCTTTAAACTGTGAACTCAGATGATTTATATAAGATTGAGATTCTTGTAAACTTTCTTGTGATTCATATAACATATTCTCTAATGCTTCTCTTTCCTATAGTAGATACCAATAATATAAATTACAATTCATAACATCCTAAAGCTTCTTAAATCATACAGTGTCCACAAATCTCATAAATGTTAATAGAATAACTGCAAAGTCTTTCTTTATTTATGATCCTTAAGATTCTTCCCTATAAACTAAGAAACAATTCCACCGAGTTTTAAAAAGTTATATCAAGATTTAATTCATTTTAAAATAAACAGGGGAATGTACAATAGAAAAATTACGAAATCCTTATGACCCAATGAACAATCTATAACCGCTAGGTTCTTCAATAACTAGAATGGTTCTTCAATCTTTTAATTACTGGAACTTATATCTTACATGTATGGTAAATGATAATCTTAATACATACAATGTACATCACACTTACAGCACGGTGGATGAACCACTTAGCTGCAACCAAGTTGGGTGACCTAATGACTAGCCTATCAATCTACATTAGCCTTTTTATATTCTACTATTAAATAATGGACAAGCTCAAGTGTTAACATAAAAACATATACTCTACAGGATTATCACCAGAGACATTAACATAATTAAACAATAATGGATTAACTAAAAGTAATTAGCTTCTACCTTGATTGACATTAACCGTGACATGCCTGGTCATAAATCCCTGACCTTTAGAGTAGTCAAAGAGAATTTTCAATGGGCAACGGACAAAAGAGACGAAAATATATCTCCTGTTGCATGTTGAAGTTTAAAAACAAATATACAACATGCACAAAAAGCATGGCATATGCAGAAATCATAATTCTTTGCCTACAAAATAATAAAATAAAATATTACTTTTAATAATCTTTCATTTTCCTGTTTTGTTTCTGCTTCAATCATGTTCATGTCTTCTAATCTTTTTTCCATCTGCAAAAATATATTTTTTTTAAATCTGCTTCAAGTGGTGCACATAAATATTTTCAAATTTCTAGAATCGGGCCTTTTTTATGTCAAATTAGAATCCTTAAAACTCTTCAATCATTATGCTTGATGTTAATTGAGGATTTTAACTTTCTTGCCTTTTTATGTAAATATCAATGACATTAGGGAAAGAGAAATTTAAAATTGTAATAATTATCGCTAAGAAAGAAACTGAATGGGTTTTAACGTTTTTCTTTTCTGCACCAACTGGCCTAATGAAGGCGAACAAACACAGTGTAGTGTGCTATGAGAGGAATTCATCCCAGATGGGGGATTTTCAGGTCTACTTTTCACTGAATTCAAAATGTGATGGGTTCTTTTACTTGCAAGCCAACATGTACAAAGGACCCCAGTTTTTTTCCCACCTGAATGACTATACACTGTTTCTTGCTAGGACTGCCATCCTCCATCACTGACAAGGGTAAAACTACGCTGGAAAACACAATGAGATCGAACCCTGAACCCCCCCTGGGTTAGTAAACCTGCATCTTACATGTAATCACTGAGCCACTTTAAAAGACAGCTATCTAGAGCAGAATTAATATTTTTTTAAACTTTTTCCTCAAAATTCTCACATAATCAACATTATTTGTTATAATCAATTTGACTTCAAACAGAAGAATTATAACAACGTAAACAAAGAATTATTCCCCATATAAAACTATCACAATCTGATTAAAATACAGATCTATATTTCATTTTTTTTATACTTTTTCTATGGCCTTTACTACATTAAAATCTGACTAGTTGTACTGTGAAGTCACGTCAGGGGTCATACGAGCGGCTTTTTGACCCTATGACATCAGACATTTGATTAACCAATCAGAGTTGATGTTTCTAATAGGATACCCACAGTTCCGCGCATTGCATACCAAGGACTTGCTGCAACAGACCGTATCATTGGCTAATCCCTCACATCAACCAGAACATGGGCTATATAATAACCCTTCCAGATTCTAGTATAGTAAAGACAAGTAAAACGAAATTTTGAATGAAATACAATCTGTGTTTTAATCAGAATGAAACTATTACAAATTCTATAGAATAGTTGGAACATTAAATGAACCCCCCCAAAAAACTTCAATTTAAAGTCCTTAGCATATTAGCACCAATAAAACCTAACCTCTTGTTGCTTAGATAACATTTCTTGATATTGTCTTTCTTTGTCGGACAATTCTTGCTCCATAGTCAACCGTAAACTTTTCTCCCTAGCTCTTTCCTATAAACAAAAATATATTACAATCTAAAAGCTTAACAATAAAAGAATGTTGACCAAATGTTAAAAGTCTGGCAGACTTTGGTTTTAAAAGTATTAAGATTAAAAGAAATTATGTTTCCATTGAAACAAATTTGAATTTTCTTTTTGGCATTCCAGTTATATCATGACTGTTTTCATCCAACCTATGATGTGTTGAATGTTTAAAAAACATGGATGTAAAAATGAAATGAATGGGTTTTAACATACTAATTTTCTGCACTGACTGGTCTAATGAAGACGGGCATGCACCATACAGTGGGTTATGAGGAAAATTTTGTCTGGACAGCGGGACTATGGCCTCCTCTTTTTTTTGAATTTCAATTGTCATGGGTTCTTTTATGTGCATGCCTAAGAGTACACAGAGGCCTCAGTTAATTCGTCTCATCCGAGTGACTAGACATTGACACTAACGAGAGGAAACCACACAAGAAAATCCCACAGGAACTTTCTCAATCAACACTGGGATCTAACTCCGGACCCCTGATTAGTGACCTAGTGCCTTACTCACTGTGGCTCCCTTTCATAAAAAAAATCAATAAATAATATATTATTACCTCTGCTACTATTCTTTCTTTTTCTGATTTAATTTGGAATTCCATTTCTTCATATAATTTTTTTATTTCATTATCATGGCTCATAGTTTTACTGAAAACAAAAGTTTTGACCAGTCAAATTGCTTCAATAAATCTATTTAACCTGAGTAGAACTGCTCATTATTATGGCACTTAGTCAAGGTATTGATGTAATGAAACTACACAACAAATTTCATCACTCTCACTTAGGAAGAATAATAGTAATCGTGTCTCAAAAATAAGCATCAACCAATCAAATTGCTCATCTCTGTAGAGTCAATCAGAAATAACTCATCATCGAACTCAGTCAAGGCATTCACCTAATAAGCAGCTAAAGCAGCTATACCTACATTGTAGCAACGAGAACATCCCGAAAAAAGTTGAGATATCTCTGATGACTGTTTTTAGCTACAATAGGATCACTTTATTACATCTTGTAAACTTAGTTTGTTTATTAATGCCTATAATTAGACAATGTTATACTATAATGGCTAATTTTAAAAACATACTCAGCCCAATTTAACAACACAAAGTTCACATAACTGCGAAAATTGTTGATTAAATTAATCAAACATAGATTTTGATCTCCCATGGAAATTCATTTATACAGTTAATATAAGCACTGACATTTTTATGCCTCTTTTACCATGGGGATAACAGGAGTTTATTCTGTTTTCTTTTTTGTCCAATGTCACCTTCATGACATGTTGACAGAGCATTATACTCTTAATTGTAGTTGGGTGTGGCAGAAATGTAATAAATAACAATAATCAATCATTGTTTCGAGAAAAACCTGATACTGAATACCGGTACCAGTCTGATTCACAGCAGCTAGCTGAAACTATAGTATTAATCCTACTACTCTCAAGACAGAAGGGGTCAAGACATGAGATCCCTTATCTAAACTACACCAAGTTTGAACTATCTAGCTAGCTCAATTAGAAAAGCAGTTACTGTGATCCGAAAAGTGTGACAGACAGACGGACAAACGAACCCATCTTCGAACCCAAATCTAATCTGCAGGGACATTATAACCTTTCAACAAGAAAACACAATCCTTTAATTTCCTTTCTTTAGATATGAAATTACTTCATCTGTGTTTTATTCTCAAACAATTATTACCGTTTCAAAGAGAATTGCATAAATTCAATTGTATCTGCACAATTTAGGAATGTTCATAACAATGTTTATAACATGACCAATATTAGAAGATAAACATGTTTCAAACAGGTACAAGTATTAAAATAACTATAAAAAAAGTATTTAAAATCATATCAAACAAAAATAAGAAACAGATGTTAATACATATCATGCACTGCCTTCATTCATACTCTCAGAGTAAAAGTTATGACAAAAAAAAGTTTGGCTAGTTTAATGTCTTCATAAATTAAATCTTCCACATTTTCTTTCCAGACATTAACAGCTTGATAAATTATAACCATCTTATAATTTATGTACCGGTATATACACTTACATACTTACATACTACAAAAATTCTTAAAATTTGGTTAAAAATATTCAACTCATTGACTGACCTATTTATAACAGGATACTTATTTTAAGGCCTAGACTATTATTATATAGGGGTGGGAGGGGGCATAACATAGACAGGTATTCAATATATCTCATATCTCTCTCTTAAAGCTATATATAATGTTAAATCTCACCAATCAATATCTGTGGCATTATTTAATAAAGCATGTTTATAGAGCTTATTTCAGACCAATAGGCAAACAAATAAAATCAGCCATATTGTCACCAGTGTCCCGGTCACCCCTCAAAACCTTGAATGGTATAATCTGTTAACAGAGACATCCTACTTGCTTTAGGATAGCCTAGAGATTAACTGTTAAGTTTACTTTATAAGATAATTTATGTTAAACCTTGTATTAACTGATAATCAAAGGTTTACAGACTAACAGCCACAACTTTGAATGAATTAGTTTCCTATGAAGCTTGACAATGATTTGAAACAAATATGTTTGTAAGTATAGACACAGACATATATAGCCTGTTTGGATTGACAGTATAAATGAAAACATAATTATAGAATTTATGAAATTTAGACTTAATCATCAACATGTATTTTAAGTACAACTGTACAAAACTATTTAATTAGGGAGGGGGCACAGGTTCTCTATTTTTGATCAAATATCACCAAACACTCATTTTGCCTTGCCAAAAAAAACAACAAAAAGTGACTTTCGCAGTGTGTATCTACCTATAATGAAATGTAATCATATATTGTCGTCACCACTGTCCACGCCATACACACATTTGCAAAATCACTTTTAAGGTCACGAGACGGAAGAATCCCATTAATTTACAACAATTTCCCATAATTATTGCCAGAGTTATGGCCCCTTTTTTATAATGAATTTTTTTTATTCCACACAAATTTCTTACATAGTCATATTATACTTTAGATAAATATTACATAGTTTTATTTACTACATGCTACACTGTGCAATTTAAAGGAATTGTATTCATTACATATTGTCGAACAGCTTATATATATAGCAATCATACTTCATTTCCATTGAAAATAAGATTGAGTTATTATAACCAAGCATTTCAATATGATGCTTGGCAGACATGTTTTTATTATGGTGTTTTTCCATAAATAATTCTAAGAACCAAACATTATAGTTTGTAACAGCTATAGTCAGACTCGGAGACTAATCTCCTACAATATATAATTAAATGTATTCATTGTTTTAATCTTGATCTTTTATCAACATTAAGTATTATTGTGTAGTTTATAGCATTAACTAAACCCCTTCTACATCCTTATCTATTGTCTTTATTTACCATTTTAATTAAATATTTAATTTAAGTCACTTAATACTATTAGAGATTATAGTGTCTTAACAACCAGATCATATAAATTAGATCAAAGTTTCATATTAAGGCAGATATATTTAAATTATCATAAAGAATGTACATCGTCTTGTTCATTCCTTGGAAAATTCTCCCCCATTTACAAATTTTTGGACCACAAGCAGATACACTGGGGTAGGACAGCATTCTACTTTCAATTAAAAGAATGTAATTTACCTAAACCAAATCAAAAAAATGTTTTGCTTTGAAGGTCACTTTTATTTCTATGCAAACATGAAATTTCAGATCTAAAATTTGCATTTGAACACTTGACGTAGGGATAAAACATTGGTTGAAAGAGGAAAAATATGAAACTAAAAAAAAAAGAACAAACTAGATGGAACTATACAACAATGAATTCTGATGAAATGAAGATTTAAAAGGGGATGCTTACGTCTATAAATATATAAATGAATTACTTACAGTTTTAATGCATGTTCTAATTCGTCACAATCTGTCTGGGACTTTTTGATATCTGTAGACACTTTAGACAAAAAATCCTCATAATATTCTAATAATCCTGGCTCATCTTTCTGTAGCTTTATCCATAAAGCTTTTATTGTCTCATCACTGTAAACACAATATATATATATATAGTATAATCTTGAATGAGAACTGCTCCACAGAAAAACAAACTAATAACTACTCTTATTATTTGTCAATAAAGTAAATAGTATAACTATAGATGGGGGCTTGTCATAACCCCTAACATGTACACTACCAATAAAGTTGCTCTAAATTGCTTTTAAATTTATCAATAAGGTTTCGTTGGATGTCTAATTGAACACAAATTCCATCGGGAACTTTGTTCTGTAATGCGTTCACAAGGTTTAAAAGTCAAAATCTGAAAAGAAACAGAATTGAGCAAAATATGTTAGAAATTTACAATTTAATAATATTAAGATAAGAGTTTCTCCTCATTCCTTAATGAGCAATCATAATCTGATTAAAACACAGATCAAAATTTCGTTTTACTTGTCTTTACTATACTAGGATCTGGAAGAGTTGTTATAAGACAGATCTTATGATACAGCGCGTACATGCTAACCATTCGGCCATCCAACCCACCTCCCACATACAAATCATGAATTCAGTGAAAAGAAATGGAGTTTATCATCCTACTCTTCTGCTCAGACGGGATGAATTCAGTAGATTTGTAGACAACAGAAGGATTTATCATATATATGAATATGTTGACACAATTTGTCACTATATTTCGAGATATTTTTCATTGTGAGGCACCTTATTGATATTACAAATTAGAAACGCTGCACAATTTGTCAATATATTTCTAGATATTTTTCATTGTGGAGGACCTTGCACGATATACCGTTGAATCAATGTATCACGATTTACCTTCTCACAAATCGCGTATTGAATCGTGAGATGCTGAATCAATGTATCACGATTCTTTTTTTTTAGTCTTTTTGTCACTTCAGTAAGTAACATGTCACTCTTAATTATCCACGCCACACAAACATTCTTAAATTGTTTTGGTCCTTATATATTTTGATCCACATCAATATGTTGATATAAAACATTATCAGCAGGACTAAAAATATCAATTATTCCTTTATCCTGTTGTTTTCTTGTAAATATTGACCTGGTTATGCATTGTGAAACGGATCGTTTCGTAGCACCTGAATTGCAATACGTATCATATCGTGACTGCAGTGGCAATACCCAGCACTAACACCTTCTTGATATTACAAAACGGTAGGATTTTTGAAAATTTAAGAACACTGCATACTGCCTGAAGTCTGTCAAATTAATAAACAGTATATAAATCTTACTCTGGTAGGATCTTCTTGGCACCAACTTGTTCCATCATATCATCAAACTGCTTGCCTATATTTCCATCTTCATCTTCTTCATAAACATACCCTTCTGGATCATCTCCATCCTCATCTCTATTGTCTTTACTAGGTTTCATACCCAGGAAACTACCTGTATTGGGACAAAATTTTAAAATTCTAGACAGAATTAATTGAAAATGAAATAAATTGAAATGAGGTTTAACATCCTACTTTTGTGCACCAACCGTGATAATGAAATTCAAACACTGTTTCCATGCAACAAAATATTGAAAATAACAGGCTTCTTAATTTCAATTAGATAGAAAACCCATACATATATATATATATTTAAACAAGCCAAATTAAATAGATGATACTTATTAATCACTTTGCACAAGGTAAATGGTTTAATGTAGCCTCTATGGCTAGGATGATGACAATATACCACCACATTAATTAGAATGTGGGCTTACAAAAATGATAATCTTTAAGAGGCTTATAAAAATGATATGTGAATAACACTGCTCACAAGACATTACGGCTAATACCAGAACCGATCCACCAGTCACATTATCTGTACTGCATATGCAGTGACGTGACAAAGGGTTTTAGCTCAAGTAAATTATGGTTGTTTGAAAAAATGATTTTTCCAGACAAATATACACTTATAAGAAGCTTTCTCAAGGGAGGTAACTATGTCACACTATTTGGAGGCAGACCACCATTAAATTTCATCATCTCGGTACCCACGAATTGTAGTTCGTCTATTTATAGCAATTCTCTCTCTCTCTCTTTTCTCCCCTTTTGCATGCCCATTTGTGTTGATTTTTTGGTCTAGAATGGACGAAGAGGGTTTGAATTAACATTTTCTGCCAGGTTTTGGTAAATATTCATGATTTTGAGGCGGAAGGATAAGAGGGTTATCAGGTTAGCTACGGCGATATGTACGGCAACTAGTTACATGTTTTTAGTATGCTTCTTCAAGTTTGTGTATCTCAAAATTTTGGTGGTCAACCTCATACAAATTTTAGTGCAAAGACATGACCATTTGTTCCTCTGTCTGTAGTGAAAAGCATTCAGCCCAACGAAAATTTGGGGAAAAGTTGGAGGTGGGCAAAGAGGCCAGAATTAACATTGAAGTCAATGGGGAAATTAATGGTGGTCTGCCTCCTATATGAAAACAACCTGACAGTGGATGAAAGGCCTAAATTTGATGATATGATCTCCAAATTATCAGAAAATGTGATATATGGCATTTTGATGGTAAAAAATGTGAAATGGTAAAATTTCAAAAATATTTGACAAATTTGGGAGGGGAAATTTTGATTTTAGTCAAAATTTTGTGATTTTCAGTGTTTATTTACTTTTCAAAATCAGTGGAAAATATTTTAATGTATGATTTTTACTTTTTCTGCATTATAATTGTTAGACGGGAAGAAAGTATCATAATTTCACTCAATTTTGCCTAAAAATCATGATAAATTGTCTGAAATTCTTCAGATTACCCCCAATATTGCTGTCAAAATTTTAATTATTCATCTGTTGTAAAATGAACCAAAATGTCTTGCATGTCTTTATTTTCATTGTTAAATAACTTGGCAAGGATCCATGTGTTTGTCAGATATTGAAAAAGTATTCATGTGTTTGTCAAAAATTTAAAAATTAAGAAATTTAGTCTAATTATGTTCTGCTTAGGTGTGTTAGAATTTTCAAAACATGAGTGAACTGCATTTTGCTGCTGTTTTCCTCCGGCTTAACACAATTGCATTTCCCTTCTCGAGAAAGTAAAATCTATGTGTTTGCAGGGAAATTTATCTGTCTTCATTTCATTTAGACTGGCTCACCCTCCCCACCCCACCCCTTTTCTTGAAGATGATATTTGGATATTCCATTGAACATTTGTTGACTCCAAATTAGCAGTAATCTGATTTTGTGCTTGAATTGTAACCGAGCATTTTATTTGACACAAACAAATAGTTACATATAAGATTTCAAGGATTTCTAAGACTTTTTGTTTATGGTCAAACATGTAATCCTATGACATTTCTTCCAAATGAGTCCACACCCCAAAATGGATATGTTGTAGATGTGTTTTTTGCAGCTTAATGTTTTACATTTTGAATGTAAATCTATTATTTGTGGTGATCTTTGAAAATGTGGCACTTACAGGGCAATAAAATATTAATTAATAGCCTTTTCATACCCCTTTTATGCTTTGAATTATGTCAGAACTCCCTTTTTCCATCTCATTTTGTCAGGACATTGATGTAAAGATTAAAACAACTTGCTTCCACATAATATTTACACTATGTAATTTCAAGGATACCTCTGATTGTTAAAGTATTTTAAAAACTGAAATATTCCCATTTTTTAAAAAAAAATAGTGCTTTGCGACCCTTTTATTAGAGTGGCTGGTTGTCACCTAAATACAGCATTTATTTTACATTTATCAATCCATATTTTAATAAATAATTCATACTTCGTATAACAAACTGTGTTTGTATGTATGTATATAAGCCAGGGATAGAAAAACATGGCTTTTAGCCATATTCCATCAACAGTATTACCTATGTGGACACAAGTGGGATTTGTTACCACACCAACATTTTTAGAGGGTGGGCTTACAGGTTTCACTATAGTTCCTTACAGTTACCTTCAATGCAACAAATTTGCAGCTTGTCTTCCTGTTTACCGGCCAAGGTTTCTAGAAATAAATGCTTTTCATCTCAGACTTTCCCAGAAATAGGGAAATATTAGCATTTTGAGGCATACAAAGTGTCAAAAATGGACCATTTTGTAGAAAAAGGTAAAAGAAAGTCAATTTTTGAAAAATATTCCAATATTTTGAATATTTTTGATGTGACTTGTCTGAAACTCTTTAAATCTTTTCGCAGAACTCACATTTCGACAAAATTAAGAAAGAATCTTCAATTCTAGAACAAAAGGCCCATGGACCTGAGCTGCAATCCGGTATACAAAACACTACATAACTTTAAAGGGTCACCATTTCTGCAGTAATTATTTTTTTCTGATTCTGTATTATAATAATTTTGAAAAAATAAATGTGAAGCTATAAAGAAAAGAATTTTGATGATATATGAACTTATAAAACCATATAGGAGGCAGACCACCATTAAATTTCATCATCTCGGTACCCACGAATTGTAGTTCGTCTATTTATAGCAATTCTCTCTCTCTCTCTTTTCTCCCCTTTTGCATGCCCATTTGTGTTGATTTTTTGGTCTAGAATGGACGAAGAGGGTTTGAATTAACATTTTCTGCCAGGTTTTGGTAAATATTCATGATTTTGAGGCGGAAGGATAAGAGGGTTATCAGGTTAGCTACGGCGATATGTACGGCAACTAGTTACATGTTTTTAGTATGCTTCTTCAAGTTTGTGTATCTCAAAATTTTGGTGGTTAACCTCATACAAATTTTAGTGCAAAGACATGACCATTTGTTCCTCTGTCTGTAGTGAAAAGCATTCAGCCCAACGAAAATTTGGGGAAAAGTTGGAGGTGGGCAAAGAGGCCAGAATTAACATTGAAGTCAATGGGGAAATTAATGGTGGTCTGCCTCCTATATGAAAACAACCTGACAGTGGATGAAAGGCCTAAATTTGATGATATGATCTCCAAATTATCAGAAAATGTGATATATGGCATTTTGATGGTAAAAAATGTGAAATGGTAAAATTTCAAAAATATTTGACAAATTTGGGAGGGGAAATTTTGATTTTAGTCAAAATTTTGTGATTTTCAGTGTTTATTTACTTTTCAAAATCAGTGGAAAATATTTTAATGTATGATTTTTACTTTTTCTGCATTATAATTGTTAGACGGGAAGAAAGTATCATAATTTCACTCAATTTTGCCTAAAAATCATGATAAATTGTCTGAAATTCTTCAGATTACCCCCAATATTGCTGTCAAAATTTTAATTATTCATCTGTTGTAAAATGAACCAAAATGTCTTGCATGTCTTTATTTTCATTGTTAAATAACTTGGCAAGGATCCATGTGTTTGTCAGATATTGAAAAAGTATTCATGTGTTTGTCAAAAATTTAAAAATTAAGAAATTTAGTCTAATTATGTTCTGCTTAGGTGTGTTAGAATTTTCAAAACATGAGTGAACTGCATTTTGCTGCTGTTTTCCTCCGGCTTAACACAATTGCATTTCCCTTCTCGAGAAAGTAAAATCTATGTGTTTGCAGGGAAATTTATCTGTCTTCATTTCATTTAGACTGGCTCACCCTCCCCACCCCACCCCTTTTCTTGAAGATGATATTTGGATATTCCATTGAACATTTGTTGACTCCAAATTAGCAGTAATCTGATTTTGTGCTTGAATTGTAACCGAGCATTTTATTTGACACAAACAAATAGTTACATATAAGATTTCAAGGATTTCTAAGACTTTTTGTTTATGGTCAAACATGTAATCCTATGACATTTCTTCCAAATGAGTCCACACCCCAAAATGGATATGTTGTAGATGTGTTTTTTGCAGCTTAATGTTTTACATTTTGAATGTAAATCTATTATTTGTGGTGATCTTTGAAAATGTGGCACTTACAGGGCAATAAAATATTAATTAATAGCCTTTTCATACCCCTTTTATGCTTTGAATTATGTCAGAACTCCCTTTTTCCATCTCATTTTGTCAGGACATTGATGTAAAGATTAAAACAACTTGCTTCCACATAATATTTACACTATGTAATTTCAAGGATACCTCTGATTGTTAAAGTATTTTAAAAACTGAAATATTCCCATTTTTTAAAAAAAAATAGTGCTTTGCGACCCTTTTATTAGAGTGGCTGGTTGTCACCTAAATACAGCATTTATTTTACATTTATCAATCCATATTTTAATAAATAATTCATACTTCGTATAACAAACTGTGTTTGTATGTATGTATATAAGCCAGGGATAGAAAAACATGGCTTTTAGCCATATTCCATCAACAGTATTACCTATGTGGACACAAGTGGGATTTGTTACCACACCAACATTTTTAGAGGGTGGGCTTACAGGTTTCACTATAGTTCCTTACAGTTACCTTCAATGCAACAAATTTGCAGCTTGTCTTCCTGTTTACCGGCCAAGGTTTCTAGAAATAAATGCTTTTCATCTCAGACTTTCCCAGAAATAGGGAAATATTAGCATTTTGAGGCATACAAAGTGTCAAAAATGGACCATTTTGTAGAAAAAGGTAAAAGAAAGTCAATTTTTGAAAAATATTCCAATATTTTGAATATTTTTGATGTGACTTGTCTGAAACTCTTTAAATCTTTTCGCAGAACTCACATTTCGACAAAATTAAGAAAGAATCTTCAATTCTAGAACAAAAGGCCCATGGACCTGAGCTGCAATCCGGTATACAAAACACTACATAACTTTAAAGGGTCACCATTTCTGCAGTAATTATTTTTTTCTGATTCTGTATTATAATAATTTTGAAAAAATAAATGTGAAGCTATAAAGAAAAGAATTTTGATGATATATGAACTTATAAAACCATATAGGAGGCAGACCACCATTAAATTTCATCATCTCGGTACCCACGAATTGTAGTTCGTCTATTTATAGCAATTCTCTCTCTCTCTCTTTTCTCCCCTTTTGCATGCCCATTTGTGTTGATTTTTTGGTCTAGAATGGACGAAGAGGGTTTGAATTAACATTTTCTGCCAGGTTTTGGTAAATATTCATGATTTTGAGGCGGAAGGATAAGAGGGTTATCAGGTTAGCTACGGCGATATGTACGGCAACTAGTTACATGTTTTTAGTATGCTTCTTCAAGTTTGTGTATCTCAAAATTTTGGTGGTTAACCTCATACAAATTTTAGTGCAAAGACATGACCATTTGTTCCTCTGTCTGTAGTGAAAAGCATTCAGCCCAACGAAAATTTGGGGAAAAGTTGGAGGTGGGCAAAGAGGCCAGAATTAACATTGAAGTCAATGGGGAAATTAATGGCGGTCTGCCTCCATTTCTGAATACATACCAAAGCCATCAGTAAATTCTTCTAATGTCAAGTAGCCATTTTTATCATCATCTAAAGAGTCAAAAACGTTTTCTAGCTGATCTGGACTTAATGGTAGTTCTGCTCTCAGTCGTTGCATGTCACGTTTTGTAATGAAACCCTTTTGTTCCGTATCACATAACTGAAAGAGGTCATGAGCCTTTTCTATCATCAACTGTTCCATATCATCTTGATTTGGTTCCGATACATCATTACTTACTGATTGATCCATTCCACTGTAAAATATCACAAATAAAAAAAATATAATCTTTTAAAAATAATATACACAACAATGAAAATAGTCATCTAATAAAACGTAGTAACCTAAAATGATTGGTTTGACAACAATGAAGATGTTTTTTAAAAAATCTATTGATAATAATAGTTTATACTCAATTATACGGTATTAATCACAGCCTCTAGTGCTATAATGAATATACACACGTATTATTATAAGAATATATGAATAAGATGCTTCATTTGCAAACAATGATATAATTTCTGTGAACAAAAATTCTATTTGTAATACACTTTATACTCAATAATATGGTAATAATCACAGCTCTAGGGCTATAATAAATATGTATTATTATAAGAGTTTATATGAATAAGACACTTCATTTGCAAACAATAATATCCTTTCTTTAAAAAGATATTGGGAATAATTTATAAGGATAAATACAGTAGAAATATCATTAATATATACATTCATATTAAAACAATCAATTTCATTTTAAATACTGCTTAGAGTGCAGATCTGTAGAAATTGGACAATAAAAATATGTGAAACCTTGTTTCTTCTTCAATGATTTTAGTTATGACCATTTAAAGGAGCTAAATCGCTAACATTTGGGATCTAGAAATTGAAAAAAGTGGGTCGCAACGCATATAATACTGTAATATGAATGTATATAAACTGATTTACATTCAATGGTTTCCGTTTTTACTCCAATTTCAAATCAGTTATGTTCGGCGAAATAAGCCAGCAGTCTCAATCGAGTGCAAATTTCTAGCGTCTGGTTATTCCAGTCTACATATGCCGTTTGATTTGGTGCAATGTCTCTAGCCTCGTCCCTCGAGTCTCTTTTTACAACTGGGGCTGAAGCGCATTATGGTACACGATTCGTGTACCAATGGTAAAATGTTTATTTTGTCTTAAATATTGGATATCAAAAGCCCATCTTATTCCGGTAAGATCAGAACATCAATGTTGATTTAATTTGACAAATAAATTGTGTTTTCAATGTTGAAGATTTTGGATGATATTGAGTTAGAGACTTAGCTACTTTAAATTTATGAAATAGAAGAACATTTGGAATGTTCTATCCTGAGACCAGCCATATTCAATTGTAAGTCTTAAAGTTTTCTGATGATCCATCCCATCCAGTAGAGTGGTGGGACGGTAGATCCATCCCATCCAGTGGAGTGGTGGGACGGTAGCAGCAAGCTGGTCAAGATTTTGTAACAGCACACTAGTGGGGTCTAGTAGCCAAACCAAATAACTGCAGATTGAAAGATTGCACAGCTAAACCTGCTGGAGGTCTGGGGAGCAAAGAAATCTTTTGAGATTTGAAACCAGTTTTGTTGTTACAATTGTTTACAGTTCCCCTAACTTTCAGTAGTAGCATCCTTTCTGGGTCCAGTAAACATAATGGAATGGGGTTTAATAACTTCCTACTTTTCTGCATCAACCCAGCTAATGAAGCAGCAATTCCAACTGACAAGGATTCTTCTTTTACGTGCACACCAACATGTAAAAAGGACCATGTTTTTTTTATTCTATCCGAATAACTAGACACTGTTCCTTGTGAGGCCCTGCACAATTGACAGCTGGAAAATGCTGAGAAACTTTCGGATCAAACCTCATATATTTAAAATTCTATAGTCAGTAAGCCCCCAGAATTTTTTGCAATTTTGCTGTTAAATTGTTTACAATTATATCCCCAGCTATCAGTAGAAATACCCTTTTAAGCTCCAGGAAGTTAAGCTCCCAGGAAATTTGGCAGTTTTGAACGCATTTTGTTTAAATTCTATTTCCCATTGAAAACTCATATTTTAAGGAAATCTTCTTAAGGAAACAAATATTTATCTGCAGTGCCTAAGGTAATTGTGGACAACCACACAATGGGCTGCAGTAATATCATAATAAAATATGAGGTATGGTTGATCCATAACATATAGTTTATGAAATTAAAATACATATTTTCATGTGCATAAACATTGCAAATCTTACAAAAGAAAAAGAATGGCAGCTCACAATTCAAATTAATAACAAAAACTTGACTCCTTTAAAAAGTTCAATACTCCTCTATATAGCTCCATTTGGGCAAACAAATGATAATGTGACTGGCAGCAGTAATAATCTGATCTTATATCTGATTCATAAAAAAGATAAAATATAACAGATTTATTAGGAACAATTTTTACAGCTGGTTAAAGTTTTGATGCGTCATTTTAAGCAATATTAATTCCATGTGAACCACAATTTTGTGAAAGATAGGTCTCTAATAGGAATATCAGTCCAAAAATGATTCAATTCTGTTTAGTATTTACAAAGTTACACTGAATTGCTCCTATGTATTAAGCCCGCTGTCATTTTGTTGTGGGTGAACAGACATAATAAACATATCTTTAAATCTGAATGAATCCAAGCGTTAGTATTCTAATCATGTTTTCTTAATAAAATGTTGAATAATCAATCCGGACGGACGGACGGACGGACAGGGGCGACGACAATATACGTCCACGTGAAAATGTGGGCGTATAAAAATGTAAACGGTGAATCGTTACTTTAATTAGGAATCATAAAACTGATACTTACTATTTACACTCACTGTTCTTTTTTAGAAGATGTTTGTATTTTTGTCGTAACATGTTCTTAGATTAGATTATTTGATTATCCTAATTCATAATCTAGAAAATGACTAATGGACACTTAACACAATTCCTTAACTTAATGAAAACTCCACAATGAACATTAAGTAGAATAGATCCCTTCTGGTCAAATTTCATATGTAGTGTAGCAGCAATATTTCTGATATGATTTTTACTGTTTAAAATAGTAATAAAGCAGTTGATTTGTGATTATCGAACGTGTACATATCTATTTGTGATATACATATATAAAATATATACCCATATTTGACAATCATAAATCAACTATTTCATTATTTACATTGAAAAAATCTCATCAAAAAATCACACTAGTCTTACAAAATAACAGCAGTTGAACTATAGTTTAGCTAACAAACTATAAGAAGTCAACACAATCAATGCTCAATGAGGCAAACCTGAGATTAAATCTGTTAGAAAACATGATAAAATATCCTGATATATATGCCTACAGCTAGCCAAGATCTAACTAATCTTTACACCCTATCTATATAGTTCATATTATACTCTTACATAATTTATATGTAGTCATAACCAAAATAAAACCTTATTCTCCTTTATCAATAATTAAAACAAAATTCTTGTAATATTTACAAGTCATGTACACAAAATCTGTCTTTCTTTCAGAACAAAGATTATTTTTTTCTTAGATAAGCACTCATTTTTTTGGTTATTTGTGCAATGGAGGAAATAATCTTGAGCAAGTTCAATTGATCAGATGGTGTGATAATACGATAATAATGTATTAAATCAACCAGCAATCAGCCTTCAAACCTATTAATCATGTTGGGACATGCTGGACAAACTCCAATTGAAGAGAAGATATGTGTGCATGAAATGATCTGGTTTAAATATATATTTCCTCATTAGTGTCCATTCTAAAACATCCAATCTAAAACAAAACACATATTTCATACAAAAGCATTATATCCTGCAAGAGGCTTCACAAGAAACCCTTTTGGATAACTGAGTTTTTATCGCATTACTTTTTTAGTTCATTCATGGGGCTTAACATCTGCTTCCATCAAAGGTGCTATCGCTTACAAATGTTTTCTGGGAAACTTGCCAGAAGAGCCAGCAGTGTTTAAGAGGCCAGTCCAGCATAGGGTCGAGAAGTAAATTTCATCACCTCCATCCTCTGGGTTATATGCAAAATTGTGCCCTTTGAGATACAACATCTAATGGGAGTTGCTCCTGAGAACAAGTAATCAACAATCATAACCTAATCGAGACTGCGGGAATAATGGCTAGTCATTGCTGACTGACCCCATCTAGAGAGGGTTGATACATAATAAGGAGTAGGATATCAGGGCCCAACTGCCACTTTCACTCGTAACCTAACACATTCATACATTTATGAGGTCATAAGGTGTTGTCTTGCCACGAGCCCCAGCTTCTAACACACAATGGCACTTTCTAAGGCCACCCGGCATTCCTAACATTTGGTCATTTGGACCTATGAATATACTGTCCGTCTATAAATTGGGGGGTTGGATGGCTGAATGGTTAGCGTGCGCGCGCTGTATCATAAAGTCTGTCATTGAGTCGACTGACGTGGTTTCGAATCCCCGGTTGTACGTGGCAAGGAGTAGGGTCGCCTGTCCAACCTCGTGGGTTTTCTCTGGGTCCTCCGGTTTCCTCCCACTGCTAAAGACCCCTACGCGCAAGCGAATTATGTAAATAAAATTAAACCATATGTTAGTCCCGAAATGACCTAGTTTGTGTCAAGTGGACGTTAAACCCCATTTCTCTCTCTCTCCGTCTATAAATTATATAAATTCATCATTAGATTGTTAGTAAACCAAGTTCTTTCATTTTATTCTAACAGGTATGATCTACGCATTTTAATTTTTGATTATTTTTGATTAGCCGCTTTATAAAGCATGTCTTTCTGATCAAATTTATGATTTCGGATATTTTGGAATAACAACAATTCTATTCATTTATGCAGTATATAGATCTGTTCTATTTTTTTGACCCTACTGAAAACTTGAACTAAATTGAGGTACGACATTTGGAAGTATGCAACTGTTGCAACATTATAACATTGCTTTATTATTCTTTAAAGACATTGAGAATACATGTTTATCTAGATATATTTTGATAAGCTATCTATGTAAACTAGTCATAAAGATAATCTAAACAAATAAAAAAAACATTCATGTACTGCACATTAAAATGTTTTACAGCTAACAACTAAGATGATACTATAACCTGTACTGAAACTTTGTACAACAGCAGCTAAGATGATACTGTGACATGTACTGAAACATTGTGCAACAGCAGCTAAGATGAATGAACCTTTCATAAATAATGGACAGATTATTTTTTATTAGTTATTGGGATGGGGAACACAAAGGTTATTAGGGGCATAGTATTTGAGAGGTTAGGGAACAAGTTTTTTGTTTAGAGTGATTCACATTTGAATCTTTCTATGAGCCATGAAAAAATTACTGTGTTCTTGAAATCCACAAAATCTGTTCACATGTAGCAGTGACTAACTTTCTTGGGACGGCACAGTGATTATTCCTAAGGTTCCCAATTTGCTCAACTCTAGACTTTCCATCTACAACAAGTTTGATCCTTTCCAGAAAACATGGCTGAATATTTGGCATGGTTGTGTTAAAGAAGCTTAATTGCCCTCTAGATCTGTCACTTGTGGGTTTTCTCTGGATCTTTCGGTTTCTTGCCCAAGTGGATTATTGAAATAGAATTCTACAATATGTTAGTCCCGAAATGACCAACTCAGGGCCACTTGCTTTCACATTTTAAATATTCAAGATTGCCCTTTGAAATCTCTTTTTATGTTTTTTTGACAATTGCTCCAAGTTTGATATTAAAGTCTTCTCCCTCTTCTATCAAAAGTGAATCTCTGCTGGTGTGGCTTTTGGTAATTTATTGAAGTGATCTGTGCACCTTTTGAGCTGTTCCAGTATTCTGTTCCAGTATTGTGGGGACCCCATAACTAGGGTAATATTTCCAGGACAGCCTGGGGTTGTCCATAAAATTCATCTTTCTTTTGTTGATTTGCAAAATTGGTAGGTAAGAAGCATTGCACAACTCTAACTTTCTGAAACTTGGAAGTGAGCTGACAGGATCCAATCATTAATTGGTTTCTTCGGATACTGACAAAGCATTAGGCCATATTTCATTCATAAATATTAGTAAAACAAAAAAGATTGCTACAGAAATGAAAACACTGAACACCTCGTAGTAGCAGCAGTGTCGGAATTAACGCAATGGTGCCTTCTCGTTGTTCAGATGTCAACCGTGGCATATCGTTGCGTCTTCCACTGAACTGTATGAGTTGCACTAACCCTAGCTTTATAAAGCCACATTTTATACCTCGTGTTTGCACCATAAAATCCTGATTTTCAACAATCCCATTCTGTTAATTTCACATTTTTGTGTTTCAGAGAATTATCTTTGGTGTTTTTATGCAATCATGAAAACATCATTCCCATCATCATAATGTCATGTTACTACATTCAGAATTGCAAAATCAATGTGTATCTCTAAAACAAAATTTACATCCACCCATTTGTAAAAAAGGGTTGCAATTCATTGCATCTCAATATATATATATTTACTGTAAGCTTTCACTATCGTAAAATAATCAGGTGGAAATGATAACTCAAATATATCTAGCTTTAATATATTTCAATTAGATATAGGCTACATTAATGATTTCAAAAAAACCAATATCAGTGTGGATATAAGCAACATGTTACATTTACTAACACTATTTAAACCATTTATATAATATTATCTATTGTCAATAATTTTCTGAACATTATAAACTACTACAAATACGGGTCAGTAAAAAATGTAGAACTTTAAGCTAATGTGATGTACAACAAACATGAGCTTTGAAATTAATGCAAATCCATGTATCATACCTTTTTTCCTGGAAAAAGAAAGTTGGTATCGTCATTAAACTCATGTAAAATAATGAAATGAAATTGGGTTTAACATCCTACTTTTTTGTACCAACTGGGATAATGAAGTCATTCAGTTTGCTATGATGGTAATTTTGTCTGGACCACTTAATCTTCATGGAATTTGAACAGTTAAGGGTTCTTTTGCATGCACACCAACGGCCATGCGATACAAATGACTACATACCGTTCCTTGCAAGCCCCTAATAAGGGGAAAAGTGTCTGGAAACTTTTTCGAACTTTCTTGGCTAGCACTGGCATAAAAATTGGCCCTCCAGGTTAGTGAGCCAGTGCCTTACTCACTGCATTATTCCATGTTGGTCAGAAACTCAGGGGAATAGTTATTCAAAATTTAAGCACTATAATAAAACTTTTATTATCGAAATAGGTGCAGTATTAAAGGTAAACAAAAGTATACTGTTTCCATCATGATAGTCTAATCAAAAATGATCTGAGTAATTTGAACATAACCAGACATTGTCAAGGTTTAGATTACTATCATTGATAAGTTCAATAATGTTTTGTAATAAAGTATATTATACTTCATAAATGAACAATGCATATGTACACCTGTTGAGATTAAGGATGCGCCACAATCCTGGTTAACCAATATAATGGCCGCTAACATGACTATAATACAATCTATGTCTTTAAAAACCAAATAAATTGGAAATTTGAAAAGCATTATAAGCAGATGTATAAATTCAAGGGTTTACCTGCAATCTCTGTTCTAAAATTTTTCAGATATGATCATGATCTATGCTGTCGTGAAACCCAAAATTAAGTTTATAAAGGTCGAAATATTCAAACTGATGGAATCTGATCTGATCTAGATATCCATTTATGTGCCAACATTAACCTTGTAAATTAAGTTCTAATAATCGACCACCATAAGACTAATACTAATCTTAAAACATCAAGTTTTAGTCCTTAAGTACTAACTCTAATTGAAATGTTCTTACAATAAAATCTTACCTTTAAATTTAAATTGTTTGTCCACAATATGCTAAATATTTTTGTCGATGTTAATCTTAATAGAGCAAGTTCTTGCTGTCTGTATGATGTGAGAGTATATTGATTGTTGTTGAAACAGCCGTATATATCCGTTTAGAATCAACAAAACACCTGTTACATACAACTAGCTGTATTATTGGTTGAAAATAAGATATTGCGTTTCTACATCCCACAATAATAATTTCCACCTGAAATATGTCATTAAATATATAATAAATTACATTATTACATTTGATATAATTTTTACATTTATTTCATATGTATAGAGAAATTCCACATCAATATTCAGAATTTCAGATGTGTGACGTAAAATATTTAGAATTTGTAAGAATGGATCAAAACTGATATATACTATATTATATTACACAATCTGATCCAGCATGCCTAAAACTAATGATTTAAGTTCTATGTGACAAAATGTAAAACACTAGTGAACTTGTACCTGACTTTTTGAATTTGTAACTGACATGTATCAAAAATATCTGATGCACAAAGTGTGAATTTGTTCCTGACAATGTCTGACAAGTGCCCTATTTTCAGGCTTGTGATCCAGGGATTTTAGCTTCTTGTATCAGTGTTCATTTAGTACTTGAGATCTTATATACCGGGGGCCCTAGGAATGGCAAGGGGATCTGTGGAAACTGAAGCCACACACAAATTTTGTTCAATATTTTCAAACAAATAAATTTACCTTTGCTCATGAATAAATGAGGTAAACAAACAACTCCAAAATAGAAGAGAAAAGTTTTGTGTGAATCTGTGCACCTGAATTGCAACAGTATAGTATAAAACAAGATGACTAGTCATCACCATCCCGCACCCTTGCACTTGTTTGAAAGGCATAAGGAAAAACAACTTCTTGGAATATCAATGGGACTAGTCAGAAGATTCATGCTCTGATCACAGTAGCTCGGCAAGGCATGGTCGCTACTCCCTGTAAGGAATGCACAACAACCTTTGTCTACTTCAATCAGCTGCTGTATGTTAAACATTAAGCTTATACATCATAAAACAAAATACTATAATAGTTTGATGTTTGTATAAAGTTTGAAAAGATTTCTTGAACAGATAGTGAAATATGCCCTGAAATGAAATCGGGATAGAAGGACAGTCATCAGAAAAGAAAATAATAGGTTGATGAGTGTAAAAGTGTTATAAAGGTATCTTAAACAGTTTCTGAGATGTGCTCTAGAATAATAATTATATACCAAAAACTAATTCAAATGTGTAGTAAAGTTCAACCAGGCAAGGTACGCACACATTTTGCAAGAGATGGATAGAGAACAAGCTAAAAACAAAAGCGATTCAGAAAGTTATGGTCTGAATTGCACAAATATTGAAAGGGACTGAGATCTTTTGGATATAAAGATATATTTTAAGTTTCATCAAAATCATATAAAAATTGTGACCTCTAGAGGGTCCACAACCTTCGTATTACATACTTTTACACAATTTACATACCAAGAGCAGCCATTTAATTGGGCAGTTTCATTTCGATTTTCCCAAAATTCGAATTCAATCTTCATTATGGTGCAATGGTGATATATTTAAACAGTTTTTAAAATTGGATAAAAATTGTGACCTCTAGAGTATCCACAAGCTAAAAAACATGATTTTTCGTACAATCAGGGGCCATAATCCAAGAAGTTAGTCTGAAAGGAACCAAGATTTTTGGGTTATAAGCATACATTTTACCAAAATTGGCTCAAAATTGTGACTTCTAGAGGTCCACAGCCTTGATATACCATATTTTTACACTTTTTGCATACAAGGGGCAGCAATTTTGTCCAGCAGTTTTGGTCAGATTTTTATGAAATTCGAACTCAACCACCTTTATGGTGTAACAGTGATATATTCAAAGGGTTTTTTAAACCGGATAATAATTGTGACATCTAGAGGCACCACAAGCTAAAAATGCGATTTTTTGTACAATCAGGGGCTATAAATCAGGAAGTTACGATCCAACATGCGCGAATATCGAAAGGAACTAAGATCTTTGGGTTATAATCATGCATATCAAGTTTTACCAAAATTAGATTAAAATTGTGACCTCTAGAGTGTCCACAAGCTAGAAACGTGAATTTTCGGACAATCAGGGGCCATAATCCATGAAGTTATGGTCCGATACATGCCAATATCAAAAGGAACCAAGATCTTTGGGAGATAAACCTATATTTCAAGTTTCATTGAAATCGAATAGAAATTGTGACCTGTTGAGTTATGGACGGACGGACAAGGGTGACAGCATAATATGTGGGCATATAAAAATAATTTAAATTATTAAAATACGACCAATTTCTAATTAGCAAATGTCATAACTACTGTAATAGGATGATGTGTGTGCAAAGTTTCAAAAAGATATTTTGAACAGTTTATCAGAAATGCTCTGGAAACAAAAGTGCTTAGCTCTGCTTAGCTTTAGTTGTTAATCATTGAACTCAGTCAAGACATTCACATAATGAACATCTACATCAAGTTTAAACATTCTACCTCATAATCAACTAAAAGCAGAGTTGTTATGTTCCAAAGTCTTAACCAATCAAATTGCTTATCGCTCCTTAGCCTAAGCAGAAAAATTCTCATTATCGAACTTAGTCAAGGTAATAATATAATAAATCTATACTCAGAGTTTCATCACTCTCACTTAATTATAACCAAAGTTATCGTTCCCCAAAGCATCAACCAATCAAATTGCTTATCTCTGCTTACTGTAAGCAGACAATGTTTATCATCAAACTAGATCAAGGCATTCACCTAATGAACACCAACACCAAGTTTGAACACTCTACCTCAATTAGAAGGGGAGATATTGTGTTCCAAAGTCTCGACCAATCAAATTGCTTATCGCTCTGCTTACCCTGAGCAGAAAGTGCTCATTATCGAACCTAGTCAAGGTATTGTTGTCATAAAACTATACACCAAGTGTCCTCACTCTCACTTAATTAGAACTAAAGTTATCATGTCCCAAAGCATCAACCAATCAAATTGCTTATCTCTGCTTACCCTAAGCAGAAAATGAGCAGAAAATGCTCATCTTCGAACTCCATCAAGGCATTGACCTAATAAACACCTACACCAAGTGAACATTCTAGGTCAATTAGAATGAGAGTTATTGTGTTCCAAAATCTCGGCCAATCAAATTGCTTATCGCTCTGCTTACCCTGAGCAGAAAATTGAGATAGAATGTGCACAATAGTGTACACTCGAAATTGATCTTTACATAGGCCTACCCCAAAAATCCTATAACCAACATATTAGCTATATTTATCATTTCAGTGATAGGCGTTTTGCCACTTCAACTGTGGCTGGGGCATTTATATGTGTAACCGACAGACATTCGTATTTTCTTCTGACGACTTTTTTTGGCTGCCATATTGGATTTTTGGCTGCCATCTTGGATTTCCGCAATAGTGTACGCTCAAGATTGATTTTTACATAACAAAAAAATCCTATAACCAACATATTATTAGCTATATTTACCATATTATTCTAACTTGCCTTATCATAAAATATGCATTTCTCAGGTTTTTGGCCGCCATTTTGAAAATAATTGTCTGGCCTCAACCGAAAAAAAATACTTTTGACCAAAGAAAGTTTTACCCAAATTCGTTTTTTTCACCTAGTATAAATTGATGCTCATGAAATCGACTCAGATTGACCCAACCCTACTGTTCTGAATATTTATGCCTTTAAAGGGACAATAACACTCTTGCTGGCTTGACTGCTCCAGAAAATAAAAAATAGCCTTATTCTAAGTACTAGATGTGTTAGTATCCTACCTGTTGTCTAAATTATCCATTAAATCCTATTTTACTTGTCCAGAGGGTTCAAAAATATTTTTAAAACCAAGTCACATTTGAAAAGCTTTACGTCAGGCTTTTCAATTCATTTAGTTGAATTTTTCCAATTTTTTAAATTAGGTGTGTTAAGATGAAATTTGTATCATCAATTAATTGGAATATTGTAAAATAGTACAATTTGTTGACCAGAATAAAGATTGGGACATATTATAGTTACAACAAGAGTGGTATTGAGCCTTTAACCTACTGCAGACATTTTTTGATTCCAAAGGGGTGCAGGTGTAGTTACTAGATAACAAAACCTCAACATCTCAACGTTTTTAGTTACGTTCTCGTAGCTCGTGTAGTTACCAGTATCAACAAGAACAAGTCTGTAAAGTTCCATCCTTATTTTCCTTGATTGATGTCTTGATTGCTATTATCATATCAGAACTTACTTCAATCAAATCTTTAAATTCTTATCTTCATATTCAACTGAAAGGTGATATCAGTTCATTATTATTTTTTTATTTTTCTCATTACCACTCAAGACACCAACTTTCAACTTAAAAAGAAAAAAGATGTCCGCTTGAAACGGTAAAGTTGTCTCCTGATGATGCGTCAAGGGAGATAATCTGAAAACATTGCGTATGCCATATTCCTGAAGCAGTGGCCCGAGAAATCCCTCTCTAGTCATTGCTGTATTGATACTGAAAGCTTGGGTCTCTGAGTCTGATGGAGAGTGTGTCCATTCTCATCGTCCAATCAAACCTCTCCTGGGTAAAATATAGGGAATTTTCATGACTTACTTAACCAGGGTGACATCATGGGTGCTAGTTTTCTCCCAGCCTAAATTAAGTGGGATTGGAAACCAGTCAACGCTGCTGGCAATCTGAACAACAGGCAAGCTGATTAAAACACAGATCCTATTTCGTTTCGTTTTTTTATAGTTCAAAATTTCGTTTTACTTGTCTTTACTACACTAGGATCTGGAAGAGTTGTTTTATTACCAGCGACTAGCCAATGGAACGGTCTGTTACGACGAGTTCTTGGCGTGCCACGCACGGAACTGCTGGTAAACCACTAGACACGTCAACGCTGATTGATTAATCAATGTCTGACGTCATCGGGTCAAAAGCCGCTCGTACGACCCCTGACACGACTTTCCAGTACATCTTGTCAGATCTTCAAGTAGTGTAGGCCATCGAAAGTATATATATAAAAAAACCGAAATATATTTTAATCAGATTGAACAACAGACCCACCCTACATAATCAATTTTGTTAATGTAAATAAGCAAATGTTTAATACTTTAATGCAGTTTTAAAAATTAGTCAAATTCTGGCTGGGATTGCTGAGCAAAATGGACAGTCACTGCGTACGTTCGGAAAAAAAGCTAGCTTCCATTTAGTTTTCAAACGTTAATTACGCACGCGCTGCTGGTGATCCATTGGTTGTAGCTTGTGTCCAATTTACTCCGGTTTCGGTTATGATTTTAAAACGTCTGCAACCATTTATGTGCATTTAGCGGCGTATTAGTTAGCTGATATGTCTTCTAAAACAACTGGGGAGTCATGGTGGCTCGATAACCTGGATGTTCCGTGTTCGGTCCCCGAGTTGACCGAGAAAGTTTACTCTTTAGCGCTACTCGGCACTCATAAGATAAAAGAATCGAATGAAACTATACAGTAACAAGGAATGTCCCCAAAGTATCCGGACTTCCCTGTAAGTAATGTGCGATCTATATCAAAATTGCTATACTTATTTTTTTTACATAATCCCCCTTTACAATAATGAACTTGTTGCACCGTTTCTCCAGCATATTTGAGTTGTGGGACGAGGTAAAATGCCAAGGGCACTAGATCTGGAGAGCAGGCTGGGTGAGAGGGGATCTTGAATGGACAACTCCTTTACTTGGGCGGTGTGAGTAGCCAGACACTTAAGCGCTTTTCCTTGATTTGATCACGCAAGCTGTGCAATTCATCGGCGTAATATGGCCCATTTACGGTGGAACCTTTCTTTAGATAATCTATCATGACCTTGCCACTGGAAGACGTTCTTTTGAACTTTTTGGGTGTTGGTGAATCCAGGCTTCGTCCTGAGTCACAATATGACCAAAGAAAGCTCGTGGGTCTTTCTGATAGTCCTCGAGAAGCTGTTGATTATAACCATGACGTTTTTGTTCTTCAGACAACATTCTGGGTACCCAACGGACAGACATCTTGTTCGGGTGCAGATGTTCATGGATTGTTCGTTCCCTTGATGTTTTGCTAATGTCATGTGCAGTAGCGAACTGTCTGACAGTTACTCGGATCCACCACATCTCGGACGATCACTTGACAGGGAAGATTAGACTCTAACATGGGCCACATAACCAAAAGTTTCTCGGCACCGGGGGAGAGAGTCCCCCTCCTCCCCGCTCCTCCCGCCACAGGCAACCGCTTGAGTGCCCTAAGTTTTGTCTACCTACCCTAAGCAATGGCGTAGCGAGGGAGGGGGGATCTCCACGGCGACAGCGATTCCTCCCCTCAGACTTAATCCCCCAAAAATAAAAGCTCAGTATATTATATATTATGCGTCGCTATATGAAATCTTCCACTCCTCTGTTGTCGTATACTATCTCATCACTATCAAATTCAAGGTTAGAGTGAACCGCCCAGTAGTAGTACCACTAGTGCGTATGGAAGGGTATCGCTGCCAAAATTAAATGCTCTGCTACAATGTCTTTTCCATTGATTATATGTAAAAAGTACAATGTACAAATTCCTAATACCGGTAATGATAAAGTCAAAATACCTCTAAGGCAAGAGTTAAATGTAAGACGTCAAATGTTAAGTGTCAAATGACAAATGTGGGAAAATGCTTTTTTGACGTGTCTACATTTTACATTTCTCTCATTACATTTTACATTTGCGCTCTGCCACACCTCATTTATCCTTCACGCTTTCTATATAACATCTTTCGCACAGCATCAACTTTCATATGCAAATGTAGGATATCACGTGACTTATTAACATATACGGAAACCTGGCACACTATAAAGCAGCACACTATAAGGATATTCACCGCCGGGTTTCCGTGTATGTTATTAAGTCACGTGATATCCAACATTTGCATATGAAAGTTGATGCTGTGCGAAAGTTGCTATGTAGAAAGCGTGAATGACAAATGGGATGTGGCAGAGCGCAAATGTGAAATTGAGAGTGATGACACACAGTCGCTTTTCAACTGAAGACGAAGTAGTGTTATACAAGACTGTAAGCTGATATCTGTTCGAAAAAAACTATTCTTAAAAGGAATTGACTGTCATGAGATAAGAGAAAGCGATAAAAAAAAGAAAATGTTTTTATTAATTCTGTACTTATCGTGTTAATGTTATTGTTTCCTGGTGTATTTTAGTTCCTGTTTAATTTATGTAGCTGTTTTATATTTATGTTCCTGGGCCCTTATTCACGAAAACTTAAACTAAGATGCAATCGAAATTTTAAGAAATACTGCAATTCGATTGGCTGACCAGTAAAATCAATTTGCATATATCCAATGAAGTTGCAGTATTTCTTAAAATTTCGGTTGTAACTTAGTTTAAGTTTTCGTGAATAAGGGCCCTGATATAAATAAATTTTATTTTTACAAAACTGATATTCTGTTATTGTTATCACTACTAATAGTGTTACGGTATCTGTTATTGAATATGGCAAAGTGCTCATGTGTCATATTTTAAGACCATAATTTAGAAATGTAAAATATTTATTTAGATACATCGAACAATTTGAACTCCCCATCTGCGAACCCTTTGAACCTCATGTTATTGATCTACGATATAAACTGTACTGTCCACTACATATATTATATACGTACATGTTTGTACGTATTTAATTACGGACTGAATAATCTCCAGATGTAGTGATAATGCTTTTGATTAAATAGAATGTAATACGAAGGTATATAAGACCGGGGACGAGCGGAGAAAAACAGGGGGGGGGGGCGAAGATCGGCCGTGGCTGAAGGACCGAATGGTTGTCTTAATGTACCATGTTAATGTTATATTCCTGATGTAGTTAAGTTCCTGTTTGATTTTTGTTTCTGTTTTATTTATGTTCCTGTTTTATATTCTTGTTCCAGGTGAAAATAAATTTTATATTTACAAAACTGATATTCCGTTATCACTAATAGTGTTAAATTAACACTATGCAAAGATTCCGTTCCACTTTGGTCTTGGAAACTTTTATGCTTGTTAACCAACATAATATATAACAAGAAGGTGTTAAGTCGTACTGAAATTTTGGATACCAGCTAATATGTTCCAGTCGCATACTATCTCCAAATGCACCGTGACTTTGCATGCTCTTGGACATATATATACGCCGAAGTCAAACTTCCTATCGGCACTATCAGACTCGTTACTTCTGAATGAGCTGCTATGAGAGATTCGGCCACTGACACTTTGATCAAATTGAAGAGACTCTTAATGTAAAAAAAACTACACATTTCATAGCTGCCGTTCTTTATCAACAGAATAATCTGGTCACCTCTAAAAGTAATATACCAAGATGTTTGTTCGAGGAAAACCAGAGTGAATTAATATGTATCTTTATTTGAAGAGATATTAAAACCGCTTGAACGCCTGTTGTTTCAGAAACCACGAGGAAGCGGCGAACACAAGGATTTTGCTGCATACAGTTGACACAGTGGATAACCATTCTCGTTTAATAATTAGAAGCGATGATACAGATGTTATTGTTCTGTCGGTATAGCAAAAAAGCCAATGCTATCCAATATTACCATATAGCTACAACGAAGTATTATCAAATAATAACCTACATAGGCGTAGAAGTTCAAAGTAATTCAGGGGGGGGGGGGGGGTATAAAAGAAAATTGCCCGAAATCAATACCAATTTTTCGGGCATACATATTATCATAAGAGAGCTTCGGGCATATTTTCGGGCATGCAGTGGACAAGAAAAAGACGAGAAAATACTTTTAGGGCAATGTGGATCTCATAGAAATAAGTTAGTTATATTTTTTCTCTACACGTTAATAGAAAAAAAAGGTCGTCGAATTTTTCATTGCCCAAAAATAAATTTACGCCTATGATAACCTAATATCATCAAGTAACTGCATACCAGTATAATTTTACTCCAATGAATCTGCAATAATTTGCAATAAGGAGAGAAAAGTGTTCTGTGTATAATATTTTAAACATTATATATCATTTTATGAGTGTGAAATCAAATAACTCTAAATAATTCTTAAAATGTGTACCCTATTATTATATAAGATGGCCACCAGTCTGATCATCATATTTAGGGTTTTCGATGTGTGGTATTCCATGTTGGCTGTGAGTCCAAGATCTCTAATTTAAATTCTAGTGTGTGCTGTTCAGTTGTGACTCAAAATTTCTATTGTTATCAGTCAGACGAAACAGCATTGCTACTGTCTTTCCCTCCGATATTTTGAATCCCCAGGCATTTGTTCATTTAGAGATTTGATCAAGTGTATATTGTAGCCAAAATTTTTTTTTTTTCGTTATCCTTTGATGATTTCCAGAAAGTGCAATTGCTTTCTAAAAGTGCCAATTTTGCATTTTACTGGCCATAGCTGTGCAGATCATTTATTATGCTATTGAAAAGAGTTGGGCTGATGACAAATTCTTGAGGAGATCAATTTTCCACTGCAAATTTTCCTACAGTACCCTAATGTGTGTACCCTAAAATGTGTCTACAGTTTAGAAAATCTTCTATGCAACCTTTGATTTTTGCTTTGTAAAATTTTTGTAAAGTCAAAAGCTTTGGTCAAGTCTACAAAAATACCACATGTTATAATATCATTTTTTTGTTGATATTTATGTACATGTAATGTAATCTAATCAAACGAAGTAGCCAAGACCTGCCTGATCTAGACAAGTGTTGAAGGCAATACACAAAATTGTTAGACAAATGTGTAAAACAGTGTCAGCAATATACCCAAAAGATACACATTAAACAAGTTCAATAAATCACACTTTTACTTGCCAAAGGAAAAATAATCTAAGGTAGCAATATACAAGAACCTATAAATCACACCATTAATTGTTAATTAATGACAAACGTACATTGTATAAATCAAATAAACAATCAGATATACATCCAATAAGACACATTATCTATTAGATCTGTGTATGATTTAATTGGCGTCGAAAAAACACACAGATAGCCATGATAAGAGTCCGATAAAACCCCTTTAAACTTGGTCAGATGGCTAAATCCCGATTTCTAATATTTATTATCATATAGTCCGAATGAATCTGATGGTGGTCCGAATCAGCCGTACGATGGCCCAAATCAGCCTTCAATATGGCTCAAATAAGCTTTGAATTTTGGTCCGAATGAGTCATGGTCCAAATCAGCTTGATTTCGTGATTGATTTCATCAGATTTGGATTTGTGGCGTGATGATAAGTAACAGGCTGTCTTCTGCTTGTTAATGTTTTTTTAAACCAAAATTTAACCCTGTAGAGCTTACCCCATCACTGAAAAAACACATAGCCCTAATTCAATATTTTATTTTCACCTAAATCAAAAAAGTTTGATGATATATAATGCAAAAACATATAGTAATAAAACCAGGCAGGATACACCCACATTTTGCAAGAGATGGATAGAGAAGAAGCTAAAAACAAACATGATTTTTTGTACAATCAGGGGCAATAATCCAGAAAGTTATGGCCTGAAATGTGCAAATATCAAAAGGGCCTGAGATCTTTGGGATATAAAGATATGTTATAAGTTTCATCAAAATCGGATACAAATTGTGACCTCTAGAGAGGGTCCACAACCTTCGTATTACACACTTCTACACAATTTGTGTACAAAGAGCGGCCATTTTGTCGGGCAGTTTTCCTGAAATTCGAATTCAACCTTCATTATGGGTGAATGGTGATGTATTTAAACAGTTTTTAAAATCGGAAAAAAAGTGTGACCTCTAGAGAATCTGCAAGCTAAAAATGCGATTTTTCGAACAATCAGGGGCCATAATCCAGGAAGTTAAGTTTGGGTATCCGCAATTGTCATAAGTAACCAAGATCTTAGTGTGTAATGGTGAAATATTCACACGTTTTTTTTTGATCGGATAAAAATTGTGACCTCTACAGGGACCACAAGCTAAACACGTGATTTTTTGTTCAATCATGGGCCATAATTCAGGAATTAACGATCCGATATGCGCGAATATCGAAAGGAACCAAGAATTTTGGGTTGTAAACATGCATTTCAAGTTTCATCAAAATCAGATGAAAATTGTGACCTTGTGTACGAGGGGCGGCCCCTCTAGAGAGACCACAAGCTAAAAACATGATTTTGCGTACAATCAAGGGCCATAATTCAGGACGTTACAATCTGATATGCACGAATATCGAAAGGAACCAAGATATTTGGGTTATAAACATGCATTTCAAGTTTCATCAAAATCAGATGAAAATTGTGACCATGCGTACGATTTTCATGAAATTCAAACCCAGACAAAATTACGGTGACCTCTATAGGGTCCACAAGCTAAAAACACGATTTTTCGTACAATCAGGGGCCATAATTCAGGAAGTTATGCTCCGATATGCGCGAATATCGAAAGGAACCAAGATCAAGTTTAAACCAAATCAGATAAAAATTGTGACCTCTACAGTGTTCACAAGCTAAAAACGTGATTTTTCCTACGTAGATCTTAGGGTGATCAACCTATATTTCAAGTTTCATTGAAATCGGATAAAAATTGTGACCTGTTGAGTGTTAACAAACAATTGTGGACGGACGGACAGGTGAGACGACCATAAATATACGTCCACATGAAAATGTGGGTGTATAAAAACCACCATACATATACACTAGGCTACATAAAACATGTGGTTTATCTTCATTTTAAAAAAGATATACAAAAAAAGTTTTTCTTGTATGTGGTGGAATAAAAAAATTAAGTAGAAACCAGTTATTGAGCAATAACGCGATATCTACAGTAATAAAACTGAAATATATAACTTGTAAAATTATTTACTCATGTGTTTGTTTTAATTACAAAAACTAAGGATCCCATCACAGTTCCTATAGCAGCTTTTAGAAAGAAAAGAAAATGTGATTTATTTTAGTACTTTTAGATTTCTTTTTTTTACAGATTTTTTTTTTTATGAATAAGCAATAAGCACTTTTGTATAATGAGATTTATGACTTTGAAAAGATGACCATGATGACATTACCAATAAAATAAATAAATAACACTAGAACACATAAATATAGCTGTATATAATAAACCTTTTTAACATTTACGGATAGAGATTGACACTTATTTAATTGCATTAATTGACATTATATTGTTTCACCGATTCTGAGATTTTAGGTAGTCTTGGTATTTTTTATCTTGAGCATCATAGAGTTTTTTCAGTTTCTTTAAAGCCGACTTTGTTACTGGTGTACCATCTTTCATTAGAGTTGGCATACCCTGTAGAGAAATACAGAACACTTTCATATATATAAAGCCAAATAATATGATACAAATAACTTTAGCTTAAGGCCTGGTCCCAGTAGCCGATGGACACAAAACGTATGCAAAAAGGACACAGCGGACGAACAAACTTTCGAGGGTGGCTCCATCCGTTTTCATCCGCTCCAGAAATGGACAAAATTGACGAAAATTTGCGCGAAAACAGAACGGAAAAGAATGAACGTGGGAAGTATGTAGCGTGGATGTTAAATGGATGTTCATCGGAAGCCTAGCGGATGAAAGCGGATGGAAGTGGATGACAGCTCCGAAGGGGTTAGGAGAAATCCAGACATCCTTCAATATACCAGATACATCCCAGATACAAACGCTTTGTCCGTTTTGAAAACTTTATATACAAGATGCATACGCTTACATCCTTTCTATTTCCGTGCTACTAATAATGTATAGACGTTCCATGTACCTTATCTTTCCTCCCTCTTTCCGTTTTCAGCTGGAACGGATGTGTGTTGCGAGGATGCCCAGAGGATGCGGAGAGGATACAGTGGACGTTTAACGGATGATAACGGACATGGAACGTTTGGTGCTCGTATATGTTGCGCATTTACATCGTACACGGCAGAAAGTTCATCCGTTATAAAAGTTTTGTGCAGCTCAAAACTTTTTGCGCGGATGAAATCAAAGTGAACGGATGCTAGATGGATAGAGCGTATGAAACACGTATGCAATGAGTACACAACGGATGCATGGCGTTTTCAAACGGAGGGCACGTTTTTTCCCCGTTTTACATCCTCTTTGCATCCGTAAGTGCAGTGGGACCAGACCTTTACAGCTATGGTGAACGGAACCTTATTCTTAAAGCTACGGTAAATGGAATGTTATTCTTCAGCTACAGTAAATGAAAAGTTATTGTTGTATTTCAGAATTTATCAAGGTAACTATGGACAAATAACTTCCAGCAGAGTAAATGGTTATGTTGTACAAAAATTGTTTGCTTAATTAACTTTCCCGAAAAATGAGAATTCATATGAAGTGTTTTTGAAAGTACACACACTCTGAAATATACATGTAAAGAACATTTCTTATAACAGAGTCACAGCTATTAATGCAGTATTATCATAAAATCTTGAAATCTGTGTCCCCCAGATAGGCGATATATCTAAATAAAAGAAATTAAATAAAATGCCTACATTTTCATCAAATTCTGAATATTTCTCTGTTTCATGTTTAAATAATTCCGATGGCGGAATCATGTTTTGTTTCTTCTTCTCTGCCTGTAAATACAAGAAATGATTACATCTGAATCAACAATTGTTCTGGTATCAGTTGTCATAATTCCACAAATTAATGTTTATAAAGAAATAATAATACCAATATTTGCTGTTATCTAGAACTAAGATACAAAATACTTCCATGTTTTATTTATAAAAGAATAAAGACACTTAGTGAGCACAAAAGTTTTAAATATTTGATTACAAAAGGTGGAAATATATACAGAGTTTATGACCACGTAAGACGAAAAATCGTAATTGCATGTACTTATAGCCAATGGTTACTATATCCATTTTACGGCAAGTTCAAACTAATCTGATTAAAATTAATTCAGCTATTAGGGTTTAAGTATCCGAAAGCCAAAAATGGTTTTCAATTACAACCTTAATCCAGTTGATTGGCTGGTGACGTCACAGGCACTACACATACTATATACATTATCTATACAATATATCACTGTCTATACACACCACCAGTTGACAAGTGTGTATTTGTCGGTCCAATTAACATGTGACTGGCCTAATCATAATCACTGAATTATCGTCTTGCTTTGTTATAGATTAGACATTTGTGATTGGAATATTTTAGAGTAAATTTAAAATGCAATATCATGCCGTAGATCCATTCAAGTTGTCATTTTTTAAATAGGCCACGTGACAAATGAAGACGACCCAAGCAATTAGCGCATTTACCGGTAATTTGGATAACCCTGTAATACTTGATATCCCAAAATATTCTCTATAAGTACAGAAATACAAATGGTGCCAGTCATTTGTGGATATATTCGTTATTAGCTATATATAATAATATTAATAAAATAGATCGTCCTTATTTCTCAGCCAATCAACGCCAGGAATCTTATTACCATGTACGGGTCCATGCATACTACGGGCAGATTGAACTGAGGTTAAATTTTGGAGCGAAAATTGCATGGGATTCATGGACATGAATATCAAATACACGTGATCATAGGTGGAGTTTATGATGCTGTTTGGTGAGTGATTAAACTGTAAATGTAATTGTAGACTACCTTTATTATAAAGAAGTTAAATGATGTTAGACATTAAAACCTAATCTTATCACAACCGTTTATCCATCCAATAATATATATTCAGATTTCATATCAAGTCAATTAAATGTTGTTTAAACGCCAATCAACAAATAATACGAGGCTACTTTATAATATTACAAAAACATCGGTGAAAAAAGGTAATTGATTATTGGGTAAATAATAATCATAAACAACTGATGAGTAAAACTTAAATATTTTTTACAATTAACAAGTGTAAAATGTTTGTGGAGAAATGTTTGTAGAAAAGTTTCCCCGTAACTTTTTTTGTTCGTCCGTGGGGTATTACGCACACGTTCCACCTAAATGTCTCTGATCTGGCCGGCGTAAAAAAGATAATTACCTAATCAGCAATAGAGCACTCTTAATCCCACATCGAAGTGTTAATTACACTACACTACACTTGCCATATTATTAATACACAAAGATAGTTAGATGACCCTTCTCAATCTGTTATTCGATTTAGATGGTTAACAACAAAATTTATTTGTACTGTTAATTCTAACGTATATTGAGTTATTTTTTGTATTTTATTTTCACAGTCTATTTCAGAATAATGAAGTCAAATCCACACGCAGAAAGAAAGGTGCCGTACAGGAAAACGAGATACAGTTGGCTACTCTGATAAGGGATCGTCATTTACAAATCGCATTTCAATCATATTTTGACTTTTATGATACATTTTGCATGAACACATCTTTTTACTCCTGTACTCTTTTACTTGGGGAAATTAAAACCACAATACTCTTCTGATGGAAATGTATCTCGAATTTTTTGGAGTTTGGACTGCACACGGTGGTAGAGGTACTTTAGTTTTTAAATCGTTGTCGTGAGAAGAGAGGGCGGGACATTATGAAACAAATGTTAAATTGGGTCTTAAATTAAAATAAATTACAAAACAAATTATTCGGTCGTCAATTGTTTTATTTAATTAGGGAATTAAGGAATCAGTCAGGCGTTAATGAATACACAAGCTGGCTGTATATAGGTAATTAAGGAATATGCATTCAGTCAATGTGACGTCACTGGCGTCTGAGGGGATTAAGAGTGTTTTCGATAATCGGCAAAGTCGTTTTTACGGGAGGTCTCTTTTTGTGACTTTGAGTGAAGATAGCCGAATTAATTTTAATCAGATTGGTGTAACCTTGCCGTAAAGGGATATAGTAACCATTGGCTATAAGTACCGAAAATTAATGTCGTCCATCTTATGTGCTCTTTAAGTTTACCTGAGCAGCTGCTTTCATTTCCTTTTCTTTCCTCTTTGCCTCTTCTGCCTGATGAATGATAATGATAATAATCATCTTTAATATCATGTCCTTGTCATCAAAATTGTCAAGGACAAACAAAATGCATATAGCCATATTATATACTCTTCAAAAAAAGTAGGGGATATTCAGAAACAATACAAAACTGCGGAAATGCACTGCTGTTTTTATTAGAGGTAACCAATGTATGTTACATAGGCTAAGCCTGTTCCCCAATCCCATTCAGACATCCTGAATAAAGTATTGTTTATAAAACAAAACCAGGCCAATTACCTACACATGAACATAAACTGCAGTTCATATGGGCGGCATATCTGACGGCCCCATTTCACTCGCAAAGAGATACATTGTCAAAAGTGAAAATGGAAGTTTTTGATTTTTGTCTTAATAATAAGTAAGTGCCCCACCAGTCCTCAGACATTCAGCAATTCCTCGTGGCATGCTCCTAAACAACCATCCAATCACGATTTGGGGCAATATGACCCACTCCTCTTGCAGTGCCACGGCCAATTCTTGCAGTGTTATCGGTGGACGTTGACGACGACAAACACGTCTCCCAATCAAATTAAACGTAACACACTGAACAGTAAATCTTATGCAAGAACCGATAGGAAAGCAAACATGGACAGGATAAACCAGCAAGCGGCAGTTTTCATCAACCCTTCCTTGAAGTGTCAAATTTGACAATGAACCCCTCCCACGCATATGTCGCTATTGCGTGTCGCACATGCAGCTCAGTGGTTCTGTTGGGGCGATAAGTTCTTCATCTGTGAACATACTCTCAAAGCATATCAAGTGTCCATGACTATTTATCATATCACAACCTGCATAGGTATTTGCATTTCAATATCCCCTACTTTTTTTGAAGAGTATATATATTCCCATTATGATTAATGACATTTAACACAAAATAACAAATCCAGGGAGAAATAGAAAAGTTATTTCTCTGGACTTCAAGCTCAAGTGGAGGAACTCATGAAGACACATATAAAATAAAATATCTGACTTTCAGGGCTATTCTATTTTGGGATTTAACAAATATTTTTCACTTTCACAAAGAATATAATTGTAATCAAAATTGTACATATGTATTATTTACATTTTCTTCCAAAACCTACCTTTCTTTGTTCCTCTTTTTCTTGAAGAAGAATTTCTCTATCAACTAATTTTATAACTGGTCTCCGTCCTTCTTTATCTTCTAATCTTACTCCAAGATTGGGTAAAACTTCATCTCTAATATCATCACATAGTTTTAATATTCCTTCCACTATAAAACAAGTCAACAGTTATACTGATGATCCATGCCTTAGTACCAAAGTAAATAGATAACCCTCATTTATAACTTTCACATTTATAAAGTACTGAGCAATCCTGAGCAATTAAATTGCTTATCACTCTGCTTAACTTCAGTAGAAAATGCTCATTATCGAATTCAGTAATGAAACTATGTTTCACGACTCTCACTCAATTACAAGCATTGACAAATTAAATAGCGAAGAAAATGCTCATTACTTAACGTAGCCAAAGTATTGCTTTAATGCAACTACGTGTATATACCAATTACAACCAAAGTTATTGTGTCGCAGAAATCAAATTGCTGGTTTCTGCTTGGCCCTTGCAGAAAATGTTCATCAGCAAACTAAGTCAAGACATTCACCTAATGAACATTTATACTGTGTGAACATTCTACCTCAGTTAAAAGCAGGGTTATTGTGTTCCAAAGGTGTGATGCACAATAACAGATGGCATGGGACAACAAACATCTCTAATATCATCATATAGTGTTAACATTTACCCTACTAAGATATTATGACATCTTTTTTTTTCATTACATAATTTTAACATTACTTAACTTTAACATTACTCAACTAAGATATTACAACATCTTTATTATCATTACATAACTCTAACATTACTCAATTCTCTAATATCATCACAAACATAACGTTAACTAGAACTGTGATGCAGTAATGATGGGTTTCACTGGTGCCACGTTACCCTTGAACTTATGTCACTTCCGGTGCCACTTTACCTGTGAACTTATGTAACTTGCTGTACCAATGAAACCGTAAAACAGATTTTCACACAAGTATTGCAAACATGTTATAAAACGCAGAATCAACCGAATCCAGCAATATAAATTCCATTTATACATTTGTTACCATATGTTACATATATCGAAAAAGTGATCGGACAAAATTTGTAACTAACTTACAAGTAAGCTGACTTTCTAATGGGAAAGTAAAATGCAAAAATTGGTTATTTCTCGACGAGGGAAGATGTTAGAAGCAATTTTTGGACATCTATATGATCGTATTGATCCAATCTATATGTTCATTGGAATCAAATATCATAATGTTAAATGAATAATAAATATAACTCACTTCAAAAAAATATTTGTTTTGAAAACTAAAAATATAGTTTTTGCCAAAATGACATTACTTTCGGTGGTAATGAAAATGTTAAATTAGTTCTATGAAATCATAAATGGCATAAGGCATCACATGGTGAAACTTTTATGAAAATCGAATAATAATTGACACTTTAATAGACCAAAAACCTTGAAAAGTGACTTTTAGAAAATCGTCTATTTCACTGCAACCGTACAAGTTAGAAACCATATTGTGGTATCTGTATGATCCTATGGGTTGATTCTATTTGTTAATTGGAATTAAATATTATAATTTTAAAAACATTACAAATCGGACACATTTGAACAAAAATATCTGTTTTGAAGGCTAACCAGCGGCTGCCAGACAGGATACACCCACATTTTGCAAGAGATGCAATTTTTTGTACAATTAGGGGCAATAATCCAGAAAGTTATGGCCTGAAATGTGCAAATTTCAAAAGGGACGGAGATCTTTGGGATATAAATATATGTTTTAAGTTTCATCAAAATCGGATAAAAATTGTAACCTCTAAAGGGTCCACAACCTTTGTATTACACATTTCTACACAATTTGCGTACAAAGAGCGGCCATTTTGTCTGGCAGTTTCATTTCGATATCCCGAAATTCGAATTCAACCGTCATTATGGTGAAATGGTGACGTATTTAAATGGTTTTTAAAATCGGAAAAAAATTGTGACCTCTAGAGAATCCACAAGCTAAAAATGCGATTTTTCAAATAATCCAGGAAGTTAAGTTTGGGTATCCCGGATTATCAAAAGGAACCAAGATCTTAGTGTGTAATGGTGATATATTCACATGTTTTTTATAAATCGGATAAAAATTGTGACCTCTATACAGGGACCACAAGCTAAAAACGTGATTTTTTTGTTCAATCAAGGGCCATAATTCAGGAAGTTACGATCTGATATGAGCGAATATCGAAAGGAACCAATATCTTTGGGTTATAAACATGTATTTCAAGTTTCATCGAAATAGGATCAAAATTGTGACCTCTAGAGGGCGCACAACTTTGATTTACCAGATGTTTACACTATTTGCGTATGAGGGGCGGCCATTTCGTCCGGCAGTATTGGCCCGATTTTCACGAAATTTGAACTCAACAAACATTACGGTGTAATGGTGATATATTCAAATGTTTTTTTAAATCCGATAGTAATTGTGACCTCTAGAGGGACCACAAGCTAAAAACACGATTTTTCATACAGTCAGAGGCCATAATTCAGGAAGTTATGATCCCATATGCGCGAATATTGAAAGGAATCGTGATCTTTGGGTTATAAACTTGCATTTTAAGTTTCATCAAAATCGGATCAAAATTATGGCCTCTAGAGGGTCCACAACTTTGATATACAGGATGTTTACACTATTTGCGTACGAGGGGCTACGCAGTGTGAAACCCTATTAATAATAAGAACTAGAACTAGTACTAAGGCTTTTACTACACCGAAACTTCACGGTGAGCAGCTCTAGCATTCTTGACGACAATCTGTAATCGAGTGAAATTTTCACCCCCAAAAAATGATAATGACAAAGTTTCGAAATTTGACGGGTCAGATTGCACACGGCTTTCTTTCTTTTCTTACAACTGGAGCTTCTGCTTTGGAAGAAATTCACCTTGGGAGCTTCCCTGCAAAGATATTTTGTATAAGTTGGACCAAGCCTATTTTGTGGCTTCCTCTGGCATTTTCTTAGGAAACACTTGTATACGATATCATCCTTGGTGGAAGTGGAAGTAAGTATAGCTCCAGGAATGAATGACAAGTTTCTTGAGGAAAAATCATTATTCAGAACTCTAACGCTTCTTACAGTTTCTGGGTTCTACACAAAATGGAAAAAGAAAAAGAAAGAACAGTTCTATGGAAGGGGCGAAAACAAAGATAAATTTATAGTTGTCTTTAGCATTCTGAAAAACATCTGTTCTCTTTATCTTTGGGTTATAAACTTACATTTCAAGTTTCAACAAAATCGGATAAAAATTATGACCTCTATAGGGTCACAACCTTGATATAGCATATTTTTACGCTATTTCAGAACCAACGGCGGCCATTTTGTCTGTCAGTTTTGGGCCGATTTTCATGAAATTTCATCTCAGCCGTCCTTAGGGTTTAACGGTGATATAATAATACGTTTTTATAAATCGGATAAAGTTATGACCTCTATAGGGTCCACAAGCTAAAAACGCGATTTTTCGTACAATCAGGGGCCATAATTCAGGAAGTTACGGTCCGATATGCGCGAATATCGTAAGGAACCAAAATCTTTGGTTTATAAACTTACATTTCAAGTTTCAACAAAATTGGATAAAAATTGTGACCTCTATAGGGTCCACAACCTTGATATACCATATTTTTACGCTATTTGAGAACGAAGGACGGCCATTTTGTCTGTCAGTTTTTGGCCGATTTTCACGAAATTCGAACTCAGTCGTCCCTGGCGTGTAACGGTGATAGAATAATACGTTTTTTTAAATCGGATAAAAATTACGACCTCTATAGGGTCCACAAGCTAAAAGCGCGATTTTTCGTACAATCAGGGGCCATAATTCAGGAAGTTACGTTTTGATATGCACAAATATCAAAAGGAACCGAGATCTATGGGTTATAAGCATACATTTCAAGTTTAAACTAAATTGGATAAAAATTGTGATCTCTACAGTGTTCACAAGCTAAAAACATGATTTTTCGTACAATCAGGGGCCATAATCCATGAAGTTACAGTCCGATACATGCCAATATTGAAAGGAATCGAGATCTTAGGGTGATAAACCTATATTTCAAGTTTCATTGAAATCGGATAAAAATTGTGACCTGTAGACTGTTCACAAACAATTGTGGACGGACATGGGGGACGACAATATACGTCCACATGAAAATGTGGGCGTATAAAAATGACATCCCAAAATTTATTTGGCAGTTAATGTCACTCTGCATCAATGAGCGAGTGACACCAACTGCTAAATAATAGCATTCGACTCTAGCAGGCATTATCGTCTAAAACAATTAACTACTTAAACTATTCTAATTGACATATTTGTCAACATTTCCTAGCGTACTTTTTTCTTTATTTAAAAACATAAACCCCATTCAAAATATGATCATAAATCCAAGATATTGCCATCAAAATAGAATCTTTTCTCCAACATTAGACATGTAAAATTTGTCACATATTCATTTCATAATTTCACACGTCTCGCGAGATCTACTTCTGTTTCATTTATTGTACTATAACCGGTGCGATCAGAAACAGAGCTTGCATTGTCTAGTATTTTCTAGGTATGTGTGTGTTTGAAATAGCTTTATTTAACACTCGCTTTCACCAAAGTGATATCGCAGACAAGTTATCGGATACAATGTACCGGGTATACTGATTTGGGGTGTTATATAGTATTATGTGACATATATATGACTAATTTCTACGTCTTGTCAACCGACATCAAGGAGATTTAAAAGTCCAACAATGGAGAAATCACGGCTCAATCACGTAGATTAAGCTTATAATCACTCTTATCAGATTTTATCCACTCTTTACTGTATGTGTCGCTTAACAATGAAATACGCCGTTTTCAATTTTTGATCCCTTTGTTTTCCTACTCCTGATATTTCGGACTGTTGTGCATTCAAAAAAATATATTAGGTTAACTTTTCAAGAAAAAGATCTATAAAAATGCTCCAAATCGTAAAAATACGACATTTTCGATCTCTTTTTTGTACTACTCATGGTATTTCGGACTGTTGTACAAAGGTTTTATACACAAGAATACCGATTAGACTCTCTATAGAAGAAGTTAAAAAAAAATTTGAGAAAACTTTTTTAAATAGAAACTTGTCGCTTTAGTAACATCTGATAGACAATTCAATTGGCTATTAGAGAGAGAGAGAGAGAAATGGGGTTTAACGTCTACTCTACACAAATTAGGTCATTTCAGGACTAACATGTGGTTCAATTTTATTTCAACAATTTGCTTGCGCATAGGGGTCTTTAGCAGTGGGAGTAAACCAGAGGACCCGGAGAAAACCCACAAGGTTGGACCCTACTCCTTACCACATACAGCCGGGGAATCGAAACCATGCTAGTTGACTCAATGACAGACCTTATAATACAGCGTGCACATGCTAACCATATGGCCATATTCCTATACCTGATCCTGAAGTTTCAGAAAAATCTTAGGATTCGTTTTAAAGGGATACAATCTCTACGTTTTGACTAAAGTGCGTAAAAAAAAGTGAAAAATCAAAATTGACATTTCAGAAAAAAAATTATATAGTTGGAATTGGATCAACGTCAGCTGTTAAAAAATGTAATCCGAACTTCAAAATTCCAGGAAATAAAAATTTTACAAAAATTTTGAAAATTTTCACCTCAAAAATGAGAACGACAAAGTTTCTAAAATTCAGAAATGTCTTGCCATCCAAAAATGTAAACATCTGAAAAATCGGTTCGGAATTAACAGAGTTATGGCCAATTTTCAATTTTATGTACATGTTAAAGATTTAACGCATTTCTGCTATGCGCACAAATTTCGTGTTACATTTAAGCACTAACCACCACCCATTTTCCCAGAGAAAAATCAAACTTCAGACCTCTATCTCTTATAGTTTCTGAGATATAGCTTAGTAATAACAATAGTCTTTGAAAGTGAAAGCCTAATAATCCAAACAAAAACAATAGCGTTTCACACTAGCTAAGCAATGTGAAACCCTAATGAGAACAATTAAACATTATTTACCCTGAGAAGTTGAACCTCTTGTAGCTTGTCTTACTTTATCTCTAAATTCTGCCATAGCTTCTAAATAGGGCATCACCAGATTTTCAAGCTACAATAAAGCAAAAATCCTGAATTTATGATCAGGGTCCCTATTCAAAGGATATCATAAGTCTAAGATAGTCACTTAACTATTAGATTTCACTTAAATATACGTAACTTCCTGTAAGTGGTATTCAAAGGCAGTGTTAAGTATCAAATTTTCCCTTAAAGTTAAGCTGCCTTAACTTATAAGTGTTTAGTCTTTTAGTGGTATTCAAAGGCCAGTTTAAGTGAGAAAAATTCACTTAACTTTAAATGACCTATGGGAGGTATCTTGAAGTTAAGTGAGATTATAATGACTTCTTTTGACCGGAGTACAAAATGTAGTAGCAGGCCCGTAATGACGATTTTAAAAGTTTGGGAATTGAGATTAACACACACAATGTACCATCATGGCCAGCAGGCCTTTGGGATTCTAATGTGTAGGAACTGACACTATTTCTATGAATTTCTCAAATGAAAGATTGATGACAACACCAATTGATTTATTCAGTTGAACTTTAAAGCCAATAGCCCTGTTTCTTGCCAATATGTTGTTTTCTATTCGTTATACATTGTTAAAATAATAAAGTTTACAATATCCATTGTTACACTACCACTATTTGATAACTGTCATACTATTACAATATAATATTTCGACAAAAATTTTCCTAGTATTGACAACTAAGATTTTAATAGAGTATAGTGATGCTCTCAAGGGGATATAACTTGCGTGTGACGTGAGTAATTCGTGATTTTTGGCAGTGGAGGTTATTCCATAAGTTAAAAATTCATGCTTTTTGGCTAATGTTGGTATTCCATTTTTAAGAGTGCGGTTAAGTTTTTCACATAGCCAAGTATATGTAAAATAGAGCCTTTGAATACCAATTTAAGGTAAGACACTTGGTTAAGTGGAAAAATTAAGTATTTTTACTCAACTTTAAGAAAACCTTAATCCATTTTGAAACGAACCAGCCAGAATTGGGTCAAATGAGGTACTGGTAGGAAATGGGTTAATTATAAGCTTCCATTCCCTTTAATATAACGAGAATTCCACAAAAATAATTCTTGGTAATTTGTTATGGAGAATGTCGTATTCTGATGTATGTGATTACCACAAAAATAACGACAATTAGGTACACCATTTGAAAATTTTCCATATTTAATTTAGTCTATCCGTCTTAATTTGAAATTAAATACTAATCTTAAGATTATCTCATGGGTTAAGTACATGCATAGTGTTTTTATTTATCTTGAATCAACTGTCCAATATTCTGGCTTAACTGGGTTACTCCTTGTTATGTACAAGCTGGGAATTAAAACCACGCCAACTTTTTTCAACAAGCCAACAGTAAGGCTGATGTCCCCGACCGAAATCCCAAAATAAATAGATGACACATATTGATTAATTGCACATTTATCTTTTTCAATTTCAAACATATTGAGCAATCAACCTGATTAACTATACTTAGTCTAAGCATAAAATGTTCACGATCAAACTCAGTAAAAAAAAATTGAAGTGCCCGGTAGTGAAACTATAGACTAAGTTTCATCACTCTCCATCTGTTAGAATCAGAGTTATCTTGTCCCAAACCACTGACCAATGAAATTGCATAGCTCTGCTTAGTTTTAGTAAGAAATGTTAATCATTGAACTCAGTCAAGGCATTCACCTAATGATTGCCTATACGGACAGACAGACAGACCTATTTTAATACTCCCCTGCTTCCTTTGAAAGGCGGGAGACAATAAAATTTTCTATGTCCTCTGATTGCCTTATTAAACAAGGCTTACATGACATTATCATATGAATTCTAAATGTACGGAAATCATTTTTGTAAAAAGTAACTTTATATGACCAGGTAGAATTTAATTTGAAATTAAATAATAATCAATTTAGGGTCCTAGTCATTATATTGTCTGCAGCTTAATCAATGTCAATTTACTGCATTGTCTTTGTTTTATAAGTATATTTTTTATGGTTAAGGCATATAAGTGGATTGGTCCTTTAAGACAAACCATAGCAAAAGTTTTAAAAGTTAAGTCCTGTAGTTTATATCTTCTCAGTTTCGGCTGTTTATATTCAGCTATTTTTACAAGAAGTTCTGGTCAGCTCGCAATAAAAATCCTACTTTTGAATTTATCAATAGACCAAAAAATCTGTAAACTACTGGACAAATTTTACCACTTCATGAAAAATATAACACCTCAAGATAAATCCACTATTGTGACCTTGTCCTTTACTAGCAAACAATTCATACAGTATATAGGAGGATATATTGCTTCAAGGTATTAATTCACAAATTGAAGGAGATATAAAAAGTTTTATTTGGATCTAATAAAAATATGTAAATATTAAACAATTACTTACATCCGCTGACTGTATAGAACCTTGTGGAAAACCAATCGATTCATCTTCATCAAATGTTCCAAAAACCTACAAAATGAAAATGAAATGAAATGGAGTTTAACGTCCTACTGTTCTGCTCCTAACCTGGGCTAATGAAGACAGGCATACGCCATACAGTGTGCTATGAGGGAAATTTTGCCAGGACAGCGGCACTACGGCCTACTCTTATATCGAATTCCAACTGCCAAGGGATCTTTTACGTGTACGCCAATGTGTACACGGGACCTCAGTTTTTCGTCCCATCCGAACGACTAGACAGCTTTCCTTGTCAGCCCCTCCGTCCTGCATCACTGACAAGGGAGAACCACGCCGGAAAATCTGGAATTACTTTCTCGGCCAATGCAGGGATCGAACACCTGACCTCCAGGCTAGCGAGCTAGCGTCTTACCCACTTAGCCACGTGATCCCCCCTACAAAATGAAGTGCTTGTTATAAAACCAATATAAATATTTTCTGTCAACTTTTAAAACACCCCCACCAAGTTTTATCATCTTAATTTATTGTACTGTTCAATATTCCTTACATAAGCTGTATAATACAAGGCATAAATAGTGAATTAAAGATGCCTTTGCAATCTAAAATACTGGTACTGAATTCAGAGAGGTTTTTTTTAATTATGAACTGAGAAAAATTCCAACAAACAAAACATTATACATAAAGTTCTGTCTCGTATCACATTTAAAAGACATTAATTTGAAAGAAAGAGGTGCAAATAACAAAAATAATATCTAACCTTGAGTAATTGAGTAATATAAGAAGCTATATAATAAACAACTCTTCTATTCACTTGTCTTTTCTCTGTATCACATTTATTCAGATATATGTGAGTTAAAGATATTAATTCTTTTATAATTTTCATCGAACCTGGTGTATCTATATTATCTGTAAAATAACAACACATTAATAACAATTCACAAGAAAAATATCAACTTATTTCATTTAATAAACTAATTTCCATGCTACATGTAATATATTATTTCAACCAAACTCTATGAGCTGTATGTGCAGAACTCCTGTGAAGCTATGATAATCGGAACTAGTTGTATACACAATTGCAACAGTTAATTTAATTGTGTTATATTAGAAGACTTCATAAAGTGTATCAGGTCATATCTCTGACTTGGCAACAAGACGACTTGTTCTGTCACTTTGACTTTATCTATATCATCAACCGATTTAGAATATCTCATAATCTCATAATGAATGAATGAAACAGGGTTTAATTTAACTTCCCACATTTTTGCACCAAACAGGATAATGACAAAATATAAGTAGTTAATTTTTTTAATACAACACTTTTTTTTAAATATTCTTATTAAAATGGCAGCATTTTATTTAGTTACTAAGATCAAACAAATGACGCAGCTCACACCTGCATTTGGCTTCATTTTGCCATAAACACATACAACAATTGTATTGTGTAAACATCCGACAGTTGCATAGGTTGGTTGTATTGTGTAAACGCCGCTTAAGCAACAGTATTAAAGTGAGATTTGCTCTGGGGCGAATTTGTATTCAGGTATATGGTCAATTATGGCTATTTAAACAGTAAATGTGATACAAAAATGATTTACCACAGAGAGCTTCATGTACAGCCGATTTCTTCTCTAAAAACCTGTACAAAAATTTAAAATATACTATCATATTCACCAATATAATGTTTTATTATACATTAAGTCTGAAGGCTCAGTGGGGGGAGGGCCGTCACGGTGTCCATCAAATGGGCTCAAAACCAGACCCAACTTTTCTAGAGTATAATTTTGCCGAATTTCGGGGTCAAAGGTCAAATGATGCCATTTGCACTGAAAGTGAATGCGCAGCCATTCTTATATATCATGAAAACATGCTGAAAATGATCGAATGTAATCACTCTTTCAATAAAAATGTAAACTTGCTAAATTCACCATAGTTCTTTGTGACCCCGGAGGTCAAAAATTCCAATTTTCCGTTTTTGCACTCGGAAGATTTAAAGCAATAAATGTCAGCGTAAAATATAAAAACTAAAGCGAAACCTGTTCTAATTAATAATAGTAACATTTAAAATGTATCTTTAGGTGGTCTTAGCACCAAACTTTTTCTTTGGAACGTCGAAAAAGATCTTGCATAACAGAACCAAAACACTTCGAAACCTGTTTCAAAAATACGTAAAAACTATCAAATCAAAATCTCTCCGATAAATTAGAACATTTAACTATCAACTCAAATTTGATGATCTTGGGGTCTATTCCTAGGTTTTGGGGGGGCAAAGAACTCATTAATATCATTAAAAATAATATTGGCCTATTATGTCAAAAATGGCCGCCAACACCTCAAAATGACCGCAAGTCCATAACTATTGACTCACATTTGATGATCTTGATGTCAATCCCCAGGTTTTGGGGTGCAAGGAACATATTAAGACAACTTTGGATGTCATTGAGCTATTCAATCATTACGAAATTGAATTCATGACCTTCAGCTGTCCACTATCACCTAATGCACAAACATCTCTGTCCATAGAATAAGTTTCAGTGTTCAGTTTTGACTGTCGTCCTTCTCTTCAGTATCGAACTATTGAGTGTTGTTTGAATTGTCACAGTTTTCAGTTTGACAAGGGCCAAATACAGCAGTGATGGGGAGTCCATAGCATCTGCAGCTGCATCGACTTGCATCCCCCACCGAACAGTTGCAATGGATAATTTTCAAGAGTTCGCCAGGCGCAGCATTGTTTTGTGTCATAACTGAAATTAACTGATCATTTTCCTGCTTCCATCCCTATTCAGTTGGGTTCATTTCATTTCATTTGCATCCCCGTCCATACCATAATTTGAAAGTACACACGTTGGCTATGAAATCTTGTTGCAGGTGATGTTGGGGGAAGCCGTTAAGGAATGACAAGTGCTTCAGCAGTTGCCACTTTCTTGGTGAAAATGATATGGCACAGTGATAATAGCGTATCATTCGATTTGCCACCAAAGAGATCAACCATCAGGTTTTGCCAAGACCTGATATGTCCTCTTGCGATTTGTTTTGAAGGGTGAATGCACTAGCACAGGACTTCATGACAGGATCAGATTCCACTAATTTTCGGAAGGCAGACTTTTTTTCGATGCCTAAAATCCTTGAAGTTGAATCACAGCCTGAGTAGACATGTACAAAGAGCAGATCGTTGCACGCATCGGCTCCTATTAAAGTTTCTTTCAACAGGTTAATGTTATACACTTTGTGTTCTTTTGACTGCTTGTTTGAACGGAAGTAGATGATCTCATTGTCTGTTCTGGAGTAATGAAGGAGCAAGATCAGCAAATCTATGACAATTCCAACAACACTCAAGAGGTCGATACTGAGGAGGAGGATTGCACACGAAACTGAATGCGCTGAAACTTATTCTAAGATAGTGGACAGCTGAAGGTCATGAATACAATTTCATAATGATTTAACAGCTCAGTGATATCCAAAGTTCTCTTAATGTGTTCCTTGTCCCCGAAAACCTGGGGATAGACATCAAGATCATCAAATTTGAGTCAATAGTTATGGACTTGCGGTCATTTGGAGGTATTGGCGGCCATTTTCGACATACTAGGCCAACATCATTTTTAATGATCTTAATGTGTTCTTTGCTCCCCAAAACCTAGGGAAAGACACCAAGATCATCAAATTTGAGTTGATAGTTTCTTAGTTATGACCATTTTAAGACGTTTCGGTGGCCATCTTTTGACGCCATCTTGAAAAAGCACTTTTCGGGGGGCCCTACATTGGTAAACTTTTAATATGTTATAAAGTACACTAAACCCTACCAGAATCAGTTGAAAAACCTTTTGTAGCAATTTTTGGGTGGTTGAGGGGGTATTTTCCATATATTGACCGGACTATAACATTTCAGGCCTAAAGAAAGATCTGCATAATGTATGATTAAACATTTATAAAATATAGATTTTACATTCGGCTTAGCAGCAATCAGATTAAAACACAGATCCTATTTCGTTTCGTTTTTTATAGTTCAAAATTTCGTTCTTCACAACACTAGGATCTGGAAGAGTTGTTAACAGGCATTCTAGTTGTTACGGTGAGTTCTTGGCGTGCTCTGCGCATAATGTATGATTAAACATTTATAAAATATAGATTTTACATTCGGCTTAGCAGCAATCAGATTAAAACACAGATCCTATTTCGTTTCGTTTTTTATAGTTCAAAATTTCGTTCTTCACAACACTAGGATCTGGAAGAGTTGTTAACAGGCATTCTAGTTGTTACGGTGAGTTCTTGGCGTGCTCTGCACGGAACTGTGTGTAAACCCCTAGAAACGTCAACGCTGATTGATTAATCAATGTCTGACGTCATATGACCTCTGCCGCGACTTCCCAGTACCACTGGTCAGATCTTCATGTAGTGTAGGCCATAGAAAGTATAAAACAACGAAACGAAATATAGCTCTGTATTTTAATCAGATTGGCTTAGTAACTGAGATTGAAAGCTAAATATTTAAACTAACTTTTGATTTAATTCTACTTCCTCTGGTGTCCATTTGTCAAAAGCAGCCACACCAACACTTGGGATATTTCGCAGTCTATCTTTTACAGTTAGAAAAAATTCCTGAAAAAAGGCACATCTATATTGTTTATATTTTAGTCTAGAATTAATGAAAAAGGTTTAAATTTACATTTTCTGCTGGGTTTTGTGGAATATTAATGATTTTGAGGTGGAAGGGTCAATATGTAAACAGACACTAATTTGGGGAATTCAATATGAAAAACAGCATATTCACTAGAGATTGTGTAATAAAAAATCAAAATATTCATCCTACATCAAGATTTTCATCTGAATGTTCGATAAAAGTTACAGAACCAGTTATTGCTAAGAGTGTCTGTCATTCAAAAAGAATCCTTAGCATCTGGATTCGATGAAGAGTAGGTGGAAATGCTGCTTTTCTACCAAAATTTCCTGTTACTGCTTGAAATTCACATTGAAGACAATAGGGGAAAAAATTGTAGACTTACCCCAATAGAGTTTCCTCCCTTGGCACAAATGTTTAACAATTAATGATGAAAAGGATTTTTACATACCTAGCCTGTTCCTCAATCATATTCAGATGTTCTGAATAAAAATATTGTCTTAAAAAAATCACATTCAATTAATAGCTAACCTACATTGGAATTAATACTTACATTAACCGATTTTTCATATTGTATAGCACCTTCCATAGTTGATGTACCAAAATCTAAAGTATCTTTCCATGGATGTAGTAAATATAAAATCCTAATCTGTCGAGATGTATACTTCTTCAATGCATCTTGAATTGTGATGAAATTCTTTAGAGACTTGGACATTTTACAACCGTTAATGGTAAGATGACCCGTGTGTAGAAAGTAGCGTACCCAATTATCATTGTCAAAATAAGCCTGAAATATTCAAATACACCATTTTTCTTCAAATATTTAAAGTAAAGTAAAAAATTCTATATATGTAAAACTTCATAACATTAATATTGAAAACTTAAAGGAGCTAAATCGCTAACATTTGGGACCTAGAAATTGACAAAAGTGGGTCGCAACGCATATAATACTGTAATATGAATGTATATAAACTGATTTACATTCAATGGTTTCCGTTTTTACTCCAATTTCAAATCAGTTATGTTCGGCGAAATAAGCCAGCAGTCTCAAGAGAGTGCAAATTTCTAGCGTCTGGTTATTCCAGTCTACATAGGTCGTTTGATTTGGTGCAATGTGTCTAGCCTCGTCCCTCGAGTCTCTTGATACAACTGGGGCTGAAGCGCATTATGGTACACGATTCGTGTACCAATGGTAAAATGTTTATTTTGTCCTAAATATTGGATATCAAAAGCCCACCTTTTTTTCGGTAAGATCACAACATGAATGTTGATTTAATTTGACAAATAAATCGTGTTTTCAATGTTGAAGATTTTGGATGATATTGAGTTAGAGACTTAGCTACTTTAAGTGACAAATGCCAGCTGAATCAAGAAGCACAAATAGGCCTTAATTGCCCATGGTTTAAGAGTATGTGTGCAATTACAAGTTTGCTTAGTGAGGATTTGAATATTTACAACCTATTTCCTTGATTAAAAAAAGAAGACAATTAAAATGTTTTCAAATATACTATAAACCTTGTGATCTCTAGAGGGCACACAAACTAAAAGCCTGATTTTTAGTTCAAATGGGGGCCATAATACAGTAAGTTACAGTCCGATATGCGCCAATATTGAAAGGAACCAAAATCTTTTGGCTATTAACATAATTTTAAGTGTCATCAAAAACCAATGTCGAAGACTTTGGATAATATAGAGTTAGAGACTTAGCTACTTTAATTAAAACTAAAATTATCATGTCCCAAAGCATCAACCAAAAAATTGCTTATCTCTGCTTACCCTACACAGAAAATGCTCATCTTCGAAATCCCTTAAGGCATTGACCTAATAAACACCTACACCAAGTTTGAACGTTCTAGCTCAATTAGAAGGAGAATTATTGTGTTCCAAAGTCTCGGCCAATAAAATTGCTTATAGCTCTGCTTACCCTGAATAGAAAATGCTCATGTTCGAACTTAGCCAAGGTATTTATGTAACGAAACTATACACCAAGTTTCATCACTCTCACTTAATTAGAACTAAAGTTATCATGTCCCAAAACATCAACCAATCAAATTGTTTATCTCTGCTAACCCTAAGCAGAAAATGCTCATCTTCAAACTCCATCAAGGCATTGGCCTAATAAACACCCCACCAAGTTTGAAGATTCTAGCTGAATTAGAAGGAGAGTTATTGTGTTCCAAAGTTTCAGCCAATCAAATCGCTTATTACTCTGCTTACCCTGAGCAGAAAATGCTCATTATCAAACTTAGTCAAGGTATTGATGTAATGAAACCATACACCAAGTTTCATCATTATCACTTAATTAGAACTAAAGTTATCGTGTCCCAAAGCATCACCAAAGCAGAAAATGCTCATCTTCGAACTCCATCAAGGAATTGACCTAATAAACACCTACACCAAGTTTGAACATTCTAGCTCAATTAGGAGAGTTATTGTGTCTCAAAAAGTGTGATGGACAGACGAACGGATGGACAGACAGACAAACCCATTTTAATAGTCCCCTGCTTTCTTCGAAAGGCGGGAGATAAATATGCTGTGAGTTGAAAATGTATATTAAGTAATACATACCTCAGATTGGGCTATCTCATTATCATGATGGGGGAATTTAAGATCACATCCTCCACTATGTATATCCATAGATTGACCTAATATAGAACTAGCCATTACAGAACATTCTAAATGCCATCCTGGTCTACCCTATTGATAATAATATGGTTAACAATTACATTCAAATTGGAGAGGATGTAACGTAACTACTAGATAGGGAGAAAAATAGGATTTAATGTGTAGGTTATATGAGGACAAACACTTTCTATATATATATATGTATATATATATACAGATACACTATTGTGTCAGGATTAAAGTGCTATGGTACTGAGACGGTATACTGACTCAAAATTCAATTTTTCAACAATTGATAAGATTTTGTGACATAACTTCTTCTTGATATAACCGATCTGACGTCATGTTATTTTTGGCAGTACAAGAGCTGCGTGTATCATTAAATTATAAACAACATATTGTTAACAGAAGACATATGTAGCAGTTAGAAACTCTTTACATCTATATCAATATATTTAAAGGTCAATACTTATATATATCTACTAAACACTTGTAATATATAAAGTACCTTTCCCCACGGACAATCCCAAGCTGGTTCACCTGGCTTGGATGATTTCCATAAGGCAAAGTCAGCAGGATTTTTTTTCTCTCCATCAGATTTTGTAAGTTCTCCTGTAATGAGTTTATAGTTTACATGTATTTGTGTAATATTTTACATACAAGGCAAATTTTGAAAATATTTCTACAATTTGCGATCTGTTTATGTAATATCTACGGATCACCAAAAGATAGATTGTAAGGCAACGAATCAAATTGCTTCGCCTATGCAGAAAATGCTCATTATCGAACTTAGTCAAGGTATTGATGGAATGAAACTATACACCAAGTTTCATCACTCTCACTTAATTAGAACTAAAATTATTGTGTCCAAAAGCATCAACCAATCAAATTGCTTATCTCTGCTTACCTGGAGCAGAAAATGCTCATCTTCAAACTCCATCAAAGCATTCGCCTAATAACTGCCTACACCAAGTTTGAACATTCTACCTCAATTAGAAGGAGAGGTATTGTGTTCCAAAGTCTTGTCAAATCCAATTGCTCATCGCTTGGCTTACCCCCGAGTAGAAAGTGCTCATTATCGAATTAGATAAGGTACTGATGTAATGACACTATACACCAAATTTCATCACTCTCACTTAATTAGAGCTAAAGTTTTAATATCCCAAAGCATCAACCAACCGAATTGCTTATCTCTGCTTACCCTAAGTAGAAAATGCTCATCTTTTAACTCCATCAAGGCATTCACCTAATAAACACCTACACCAAGTTTGAACATTCTACCTTAATTAGAAGGAGAGGTTTTGTTCTCCAAAGTCTTGAGTCTCGACCAATCGAATAGCTTATCATTCTACTTACCATGAGCAGGAAATGCTCATTATCAAACTTAGTCAAGGTATTGATGTTATGAAACTATACACCAAGTTTCATCACTCTCACGTAATTAGAACTAATGTTGTCATGTCGCAAAGCATCAACCCATCAAATTGCTTATCTCTGGTTACCCTAAGCAGAAAATGCTCATTATGGAACTTAGTCAAGGCATTTATCTAGAAACACCTACACCAAGTTTGAACATTCTAGCTCAATTTTTAGTAAAGTTATTGAGTCCCAAAAAGTGTGGTGGACAGACAGAGAGACAGACCCATTTTAATTAATGGAAACTGTTGAACTTTAGGAGCGTTCATAACAGTTTTGTTATTTCAGCTTTCGCTCATAAATTCCGGACATGTCCTGCGCTTTTTTCTAAACGTCCAAAAAGTATAGGTTGGCAGTAGTCAGCACGCTTTCATTCTGTCCTTAATACGTAATTTTGTAGGAATATTACGGACATAAATTTGAATACTGTAAGGGAATTAAATATAAAAAATAACAAGGTGTACCTATTTTTTTTTTTTAGATACAAATTTGAATATCTGGTTGACACATGATTTTTAATTGTGGTCTGAAACAGCCTGCTTGAATAACGATAAGAGTTATGCCCTTTTATTTTCGGTAAAAATTTCCGACAAGAAAAATTTAGAATATAACTTTGACAGTTATTTGTAGACATTACTGAAATTTAATAGACTTGAAAGAGATCAGACGAAAAAATGTAGTCTTTACTGCAGTGTCCTTAAATGGGAAGAATTTCAAATATAAGAGAAGGACTTTTAGCCAATAAAGGAATTTTAGTCAGGGAGTAGTACTTAGAAGATTCCATTAGAAGTAGATAATATACGTAAAATAAAGTAAATGCATCCATTCTAGATGATTATTTTAAATTTCACGTTCAAAAATGGATCTGTTTTCAATGTCAACGCCAATTATGACATCTACCCTCAATTATTTAATACATGTTATCACTTGTGGATGTGGTGAAAACTATCTGAGAAAAAGAATGAATATTCATAGACAACAAATTAGGGACCCTAAAACAAGAATGATCCCTTTAAAAGCACATATTGATACCTGTGCGAAGGATAAAACCCCTGATTTTGTTATATATTCATTCTACAAAATGTCTACATTTCAATATGTATGTTTTCATGATCTGGAAATGAAGTTTATTTCTACACGATTACTGGTATATGTATTTTACCTTCTCCTTCAGCTAAAGCTTTATCATCACCAAATGCTTCTGGCACTAGTTTAGCATAATGGTGGTTCTCCTTTTGATCAAATTTATTAGTTTCAAAATATACTGATCCATTTGACTCATAACTGAAATAAATAATTAAAATATAATCAATCAACCATTTGTGGAATAATTTTGATTACAGTATGTGCGTTTGTACCTTCCCACGTACAAATTGTGTGATTTGATGATACATTTGGACTACACACTTATTCAAACTAATTCATCTATTAAAAGTTGGCTTCAAATCCCACTCAAAACATTTTATAGGAAAAAAACTACCCCATGCCACGAGTATCTTTTTTTATTAGCTTTGTTTATCACATGATTTGATTGAAGGAGATTCCAGTTTCAGCTTGTATTTGTCATTATATTCATTTTCATAAATATCTAAGCCTAATTAAATTCCGGGATTATCCTCTGTCAACTTTTTTTTTCCGCTGCTTAATATCAAACATTTAATTCTCACAATGTCCTCACTAACGTCATATTTTTGTCTTGTGCACGCCCCAGTTATTTTTCAGAGAATTCAGTATTTTTCTAATAAGATTGGGTGTCTCTTCTTTCCATATACATGTATACCAAACTTGTTATACTTTTATTGGAAATAACAACCCGATAAATACTTTCGTGGGAATGTATCTTTAACTGTATTTCATGACAGTTAATCACTCTGTTATAATATTGACATTATTCTGTATTTTATTACCAATTTCTAGTATCGAAAACTTACAGTAATCAGGTTTATAAAGCTTATACTAATACAAAAATAACATGTTCACGATATCACTTTGTTTATTAATTATTATTTTCAAGAAAAAGAAAATATTATATACAAACCCGTAGCCATTGTCTATAATATTTTGAACAAAATCAATATTTTCAGGTATATATTCACTAACTCTAGTCAATACATCAGCTGGTAAAACCTATAATAAAATAATTATATACATGTTCATTCAATATACAGTTGCACACTGGTTCAAACACATGAACACCATACAATATGCTATTATGAAAATTTTGCCCGGACAGCGGCCGTATGACCTACTCTTTATTATGAATTCCAACTGCCAAAGGTTCTTTTATGTGAATACCAATGTCTGTAGACAGGCCTTTGGTTTTTTGTCCCATCCATATGACTACTAAACACTGTCCTTGTCAAGCCCTCTCCTGTCCCACTGACAAAGGGAAACCAAGTCGGAAAATCCAGAGGAACTTTCTCGACCATCACAGGGAGCAAACCCGAGGCCTCCTGGTTAGCGACCCAGTGTCTTATTCACTGATTCAAACACATGAACAGTGTTACTGTCGTCTTACATCTGTATAGTGTATTGCTAAATGAAAATTTATTAAGTGACAACTTAATTCATACAAAAGAAATCTGTTTTATATCAAGACATTCATTTATAGCAAAATACAGAATTTTAATTTTAAGTAAAAATCTCTTCTTTGATATATTACACAGAACAGAAAACAAATAGGTCAAGCAGCCTACATTCAAAGATTTCATGTCCTTGTGAAAGGCCTCTTCGTATATTTTTGGTAAATCTGCAAATATGGAATTCTCAGTGACATCTGCACCTTTCTGACTGTCTAACCATTTTCCTAAAACATCTTTACCTTTTGTTATTAATTCCTGTCAAAAATATATATACATGTATCATATTAAATATTTGAATAACTAGTTGATTACTCTCTCTTTTCTTTTTTTATCATCACAAATAATAAGATGGGAATGAAAACGGTTCCAGAAAATGTTAAAACAGTTTTGAAAATATCATATTTATGTTTCAATATCTTGTACAATAATACCAATTTACATCCACATCAACTATCTTTTCCTCTGTACTTAACAATACATTTTTTTTTTAAAAGATATAACAAATTTCAAATTTCAAGAGACACATTCTGTTGAAAAAAGAAATATTAATATTGATGGTTTTTTTCCTATTGAAGTTAGATCATACATGAAAAAATTCCCTTGCGACGCATTGCCTAGGATCAGCTGTTTTGTATTTTTTAATTTCTTTCATAACAGAAGACAGGATGGGTAGTTAATACATCATAATTCTGTACCTCTTTGGCCTTTTCTAATTCAGAGTCTGTCGCATTGCTAGAAATAGCGTCTTCCATACGCTTAATTGAGTCAGAAACCGTTTCCTTTATTCTTTCCAACATGACCTTTTTATCAGAATCTTCCTCAACTGACAATTTCTTTAAAAATATCTGAAAGAAGATATTTAATTAGTGATCATTAGACTGGAAGACCATCGGAAAAAGCATCAACTACATTCAGCAGCCTACAGACACACCGTCCCTAGAGTAATCCCCCTTTATGCACATCTTGTAATTTGACCATGGTAGCAGAAGTCACAATAAAATGAGAAAATAATTAGACAAGTACATCACTGTTGTGCCATACAAATAAACTGTGTTCTTATCAACCAGAAACAAATCAATCACAAATTATATAAAATTATAAATTTATGGAATTTAACCACTGGTAAGTACAATCAGGCATATAAATTATCTTTCACAATCAAGTACATGATTAAGGAAAAACAATTAGCCACAAATAAAAACAAATCATAGCAATAAAGTGTCTTTTCTGATTTAAATTTTGTTCAACTACGATACATTTAATGTAAGTTCTGCTCAGTTATATAAAGCTAATATAATTCCTGACGTTAAAGTTAAAGGTGAAAATGGGACACACACATCCCGGATCTGTATTATGTACAAACAGTAATAGTGTAATAGGATCAAATTATTTTTTATGGAGTTTTTCTTGTAAAAGCAAACTTGAGATTATGTAAACTTACTGTCAAAATACCTAATAGGTGCAAAAATGAAACTGATCTCTTTTAAACATAACTGTCAGGCGTTTTCACAGATTCTCAACAAAATATAAAAGAAGCCATGGACCTTATAATGTATTTTAAGGTCCATGAAGAAACCAAAGACAAAGCAATAATTTAATGTGCTGTATATAATCAAATTATTAATCTATTTCTTCTGTTTTACATCATTTCTCTTGGGTAAATAAACAAAATACTGTTAGAAATGAAGGACTCCAAATTTATCTTGTTGAAAAGTGTATAATTTAAAGGGGAGAACCCACAATAGAGAGTTACACAATAAAACTTGATTCAATAAGGGGGGGCTTACGTTGACCTTACAACTGAGAGCAACTGGCGTTTCGGCAACTAGGAGCAACTGAAAGCAACTGAAAGCAAATGAATGCAACTCAAAAGGATCAACCTGAGCGTCTCTTACAACTCAAAGCCACTAGTTGCAGTCAGTTGCACATGTTTAACTTTCTGCAACTCGCTGCAACTAGTTCCAGTTGACATGAGCGTTTTTACAATTGGCGTTAACTCGTTTCCATGGAAATAACATCACATGATAAGAGACATGTCATGTGACATTAAAAACAAGCACAATCGAAGCGAACGAAGACATCCACTTTTCAAATGTTGATGATGTCAACAATAATATATTAAAAGAATTGTGACAAGACCGATCATGCCTTTGGGGTGTTTCATCTAAGGTATTCGCCATTTTGTTAATCCCGTGATGAATAAATTAACAGTCACGTGTTAAGTGTAATCACTATCTCAGTTCCGACTTGACACGAGCGCTCAGAATTCAGTTGCTCTCAGTTATCCTCAGCTGCTGACATAATCCCCACCCCCACCCTTATAAAGCGTGATTTAACTTGATTTATGCTACAGTTTTCACTGTCAAACATGATGTGTGCTAGTTATTCTCTATCAAACATTTATGCTGCAGTGTACGCTCTGTCAAATATATATTTACAGTTTTTACCTGCATGGCCTCCTTGGCATCAGCTAATACCTTATCACACGAAAGCCCTTCTTCTTTATATTTCATTAACAAATATTCACATCTTGCCTTTACAATTATCTGCAAAATATAAATAGTTAAACTATTTAAAAAGTTAACATTTTTACAGGCAAGATTGCTAACAAATGGTTTAGGAATCATGTAACTGGTGAAAGATGTTTCAACATTTTCTTTCCTCTTTTAAATCTAGCTTCTAAATCATCAGAGCAAAACATTCAATCGGACTGTTTTCTTCATAGTTATTGGCACTTATTAAATTGCATGTTAGCTAAATTATCAGTAATTGTATAATGAGATTAAGATATTTCTCTGGAAGTGCTATTAAAATTACCCTAAAGAGAAAATATCCTTTTTCTCCAGCATTATTTGGAAACAACAATAATGCTCTCAAGAAATTAAAAATAAAAATTTCATGTGCCGGCAATCAATTTTAAGGCATTGATCAATTTTAAGTAGCTACTTCAGGTGCCAGTCGATACATTAACAGAAACGGAAAATATGTTAATTTTAAGTTTAAAAATTCTGAATTAACATCCACTCGACACAAACTAGGTCATTTCGGAACTAACATATGGTTTAATTTTATTTCAATAATTTGCATGCGCGTAGGGGTCTTTAGCAGTGGGGGGAAACCAGAGGACCCGGAGAAAACCCAAGAGGCTGGACAGGCGACCCTACTCCTTGTCACGTACAACCAGGGATTCGAAACCACGCAGGGGGTTGGACGGCCGAATGGTTAGCACGTGCGCGCTGTATCATAAAGCCTGTCATTGAGTCAACTGGCTGTATGTGACAAGGAGTATGGTCGCCTGTCCAACCTCTTGGGTTTTCTCCGGGTCCTCTGGTTTCCTCCCACTGCTAAAGACCCCTACGCCAAGCGAATTATTGAAATAAAATTAAACCATATGTTAGTCCCGAAATGACCTAGTTTGTGTCGAGTGGACGTTAAACCCCATTTCTCTCTCTCGAAACCACGCCAGTTGACTCAATGGCAAGAACGCATGTGCTAACCATTCGGACATCCAACCCCCCAATTCCAATTGAAGTAACAATAATTATATTATACTTTTATAATTCAGTATAAATACTTTATGTTTAATTAAACAAATACTAGAAATCAACTGATAATTTTTATTACAAAATGAATGAATGGAGAGGAGAAATGGATTATAGGGGAATATAATTTTGTCTCCATTATTTCTGGTGTTGCGTGAAACTTGATAACCCATAATTAACACAATTTACTGTTTAGATTAAAGAAAACAGTAATGGCTTGATAAAAACGGAACCTTGGAATTTTATGACTTGCTCAGTAACCACAAAAGCTCGACCGTTAAAATAAGCAGCATGCAAATCTTCTACGGCCATAGACAGGAGTTGATTTTCCCTAAGGCACAATATTTCCCCGCCAAATTAGTCACAAGACTTCATCAATTGAAGGGTGAGTCAACGAAGCGATCCCTACATGTGGTTGATACTAAAACCTGTTTATTCTTTCTTCTGCCATCTCTTACAACTGTTTGTGCCATCTTGTATCTGTAAATTTTTACAAACACTAAAAAACAATTCTATCCACAATTGTCCTATTAATTTTCTTTATTCAAAGTCAATATATAAAATATCTAAATTTGATTATACAGACAACTGTATGGATATCATTCATTAAATTTATGAAAGTGTCAATAGGGGTATTCTTATCGTTCTCATAATTGTTTGATAGAGAGTATCCTCATTGAAACTTAGTAATTGATATCCATAAATTCGTCTGTAGTATTATATAATGCTTTCACTCAAGATAAATTTGATAAATGAATGGCAAACTTATTCTACAACAACATAATATTGTATACTGAACATAATGTGTTGTTCAGACAGCTATATCAATATATAAACCAGTTCAAAAACGCCATAATTTTTAAAACAAATTATTCTGTTCAGATCTAGTCTTGATAAAAATTTAAGAAGTTGTGCCAATTAACACTAGCTGTGTTACCTTTTTGCAACACAGTTATGTAATTCAAGAATAGTTAATTTAAGATAGCTTCAGATAATAAGGATTACATTGAAATGCTTGCAACCATATGTACTAAAATTTTAACCAACCATATTCAAACCAGACCTAAAACACTTCAAGCAGCTGTGCCAATTCACACTGCTGATAATTTAGTGGTACCATGCCACATCCGCACTCAACATTTTTCCATTTTCATAGTGTAAACATGCTTTCTAGTGTTTGCAAATACTGCAGGAGACAAGACAGCCCTGCTTCGACTGTTAAAAGGGACCCTGATAATGTCCATTCAATGCAAACAAATGGTTCAATTTTATTTCAATATTTCACTTGCGTGTAGGGGTTTTTAGCGATTGGAAAAGCAACCCTACTCCCTGTCATGTACAAGTGTGGAATTGAAATCACGTCACTTGACTCAATGACAGACCACTCAATAAGCTCATTGTCACGAAATGTTTACCATGGAAATTGATAAATTATTTATTTCATGCTATTTTTCTTTCAATAAACAAATTAACATGTACTAGCAAACTAAGGACCAAGAACCATTATGATGTCATCGCCGCCATCTTGGAATTGTGACATCATATCAAAAATTGAAGTTCCTCTCAATTAATGCACAATTAGTGTCTATAGAACAAGAATGCCAAGTTTCATAACATTCGCACTTGAATTGGTGAAAAACAAGATGAGTAATGCCCCGGGGCCAAGTTCCTGGTCCAAAAAATAAACATACACAGAGGCACCAAAGACATTGTTTCAAAATCATTCAAAGCATAAATATATTAGTTCAAAATTTGTACGCAACTGCTGGTAAAGAAGCTGTCTCTAACTCTACTGGACAATTGGGTGTTGCCATTTCTATGAAAGCTTATACAGACTTTCATATAATAGCTTGAGACAAAAACAAAGGGTTCTTTATTCACTGAGTAATATCTGGAATTATGCCCTTTTCTGATTTTTGAACCTTCAATAGTTCTGAGTTTCTGAACGAGACTTATACAGATTCTATTCACCAAACAACATATTAATATTATACATTTATGGAAATCTGAACCAATTACTCTTCCAAATATATACCAATATATACCCCAGATCTTTTTACTTTATGTTGAAAGTTGTGTTTAAAACTCATATCAAATATCTCATGTCGAAATAACAAATTTAATTGAAGATAGATATATTGTAATATACACAATCCTAAATAATTAGTAGAAAGGTTCAAGATGCATCTTTGGAAAGGTAAAAAATATTTCAACTTTTAAAAAATACATAATACAAGATATATTATCAGGATGAGAATCTGTGTGAAACTTTTCAAAATACACACAAATTACACAAACCAGGGGCGTCAACCATCATACAGACACTTCAAACCATACAAACACATGCAACAGTCAGAGGATCAAAAATGTTATCCAAAACATCAAAACATTAATATGCACTAAATCCCAGAGAAAACATCATCTATTTACATGCATTTACTTGTTGAAATAATGAAAGAAGACATGACATCACCAACATTTATAATACAATTCCTCGAATAATTATCTAAATGATGACATTTCAATTCCAAACTTTGTGCATTTGAAAAACTGTTTTCAATTCATCAAGTAACCTCACTTGCAGAGAAAAATTTCTTCATTTTTTTCTAAGTTAATGTGGCTAAGAAAATTCTGTATGTGTAATGAGCTCATCATCTTCAATTAGAAATTGACAGCCCCAAATGTCATTCAATGTTGTTACTGCATAAATTTATCATTTTCCAATCTATATGTTCTAACACTTTTTGCAAAAGGTGACATGAAAATGGGCAGACGATTTGGTAGATTGTCGTAATCAATAGAATTCTGGTTAATTTTTCAGGCAAAAATGTAGCAACTCTCACCCTTTCTCTTAGCTTACTGGAGTATGACTCACAAACCCTAGGAAGAAATAAATATCTTTGAAGTAACAGCTAGCGATTGTAGCAACCAAGGGTTAAAAATGCAAGAATTTCAAAAGCAACTGGTGATCACAGGCAACTTGTTTAATGAAAACCTTGTTGATGAGTTGATAGAGAGAATGAACACAAAAGTGGTGTTGATAACTATGCTATTCATTACTCAGAATTAACTTCTTCACTTCAAGCCATCAAACATGTAAATGAACATTCAAAATTATCCCACAAGTTTAAAAAAACACTCCAGGTATTTTTCTTATTGATCAATAAAAAACTGAATTAAAAGTTCTTTTTAATCAAAATTTAACTCAATATTGTTAAATTTGAATCTAATATAGCCCAAAGACTGACAGATTTTGTGAAGAAATTGAACTGAGAAGAGTTTTGATGTAGAACTCAGTATTTTAAAAATGTACAAATCGCTCTCTCTCAACAATAATAAAATAAAATTTGATTTGTTGGAAACATAATTTTTCTTAAATTGAATTCAAGTAATTTCCAATTAGCAAATGGCACAATTGCTATAATAGGTTGATGTTAGTGGACAGTGTCATAAACGTATCTTGGTATCTTGAAGGATTCATGAATAATAATTGTATACCCAAAACTATGTGTTGGACTAGGACTTGTCATTTAAATTCAATCACTAAACAATATCAAGGTTGGGTAAAACACAAAATTAAAATATTCAATTCTGAAAATCACCTCATTGTACTATCAACAAATATTGTCTTTGATATTTTACACCTTGCGATGAAATATCCTTTGATCTTTATACATATTATAAGACATATCAACTTGTTGTGATGTCATCAGAGGGTGATATCCCATGTTGCCCAAGGGTAGTTATGATATATCACTGCAGGCCATGGGTTAATTCACATATCAGGTTATATTTAACTCATGCAAGTCTGGAAATAAGGCACCTGTCACAGAAAATGTCAGTCACAGATTCCGGCTTTTTCCGGCTTTTTCCGGCACTGATTTGATGTTATTAATACATGTCCGGCACTAAGTTGAAAATGTCAGGTACTATTTCATTAGTGCATCAGGTACCTCTAAAAACGTTATTTCCAGGCCTGTCTACCTGGTAGCCAACTTAAAATC